TGGGTGGGCTTCAGCCCCTCCCTCTCTGGTTCCCTCTGGCTCCCTTCCTTTCCCCCATCCCCCACATCCCCTCCCCTTCCAGCTGCTTCCGCCGAAACCACATTTTTCCCTGAGTTTCTTGCCTCCCCAGTCTCTCCAGGTCCTGCCCTCCCCTCCCTGGTGAAGCTTGAGCCTCAGCGTTTTACACCCAAGTAGTCCATCGGGATGTTTTGCTGAATAAAAAGCCAGAATTCTGCCTCCAGCTTTAAAAATACCAGTGTCCCCTCCCTGCTCCGTATTTCCAGAGCACTGATCACGTCTCGGAGGATCTGGAGAAAGGGTTGGGGACACCGAGACCCACAGGGAGGTCCCGTCTTGCCCGCCGGCCTGAGTTATCCTGCTCCTGGGTTCTGGCCTCAGCCTCGGCCTGCATTTCCCTGGTGCCCTCCAACAGACAGGCGGCAGAGGTGGCCACACACAGCATCCCAAGGGACTCAGGGCATAAGCCCACCCGCCCATGTACAGCGCATCAATGCCAAAAGCTCACACGCTCACACATGCACGTTCACTCCATGCTAATTCCTGCCTTTGATCGCGGCCTCTAGTCTGTCATCACCACTCAGCGTTGACAAAGCAAAAATAAAAAATAAAACGAAAGAAATCCGCCCTGTCATTTGGACTCCCCCCCACCCTGCCGGGCTTGGCAGCCCCCACCCCCGCCCCCGCCTTTGTATTATGGGTTTATGTCAAGGTATGTTGGATTCTAAATTAAATGTCAGCCCACTGTACGTTTCTGGCTCCAGCCGCAGAAAATGAAGAGCTAGTGCTGGAGACCATCCAGTTGTTCCGCTCCCCGTGCCTAACCGTGAGGGGTGACAAGCCCATTGAATCAGCGCACGGTAGCTTTCCATGCCACAGGAAGCCAAGATAAATTTATTTTTAATGATAAATGTGACTGTCAGAGTGAAGTTGAGACAGCTTTACGGTGAGAATCAAGCGCCCTGGGCAGCGCGGGGCAGAGGCTGGTGGACGAAGGCCAGAGGTCCCAACCTCCCAGCCAGCCGGTCCCTGGGGCCGCATGAGGCGAAGCATATTCAACACTCAGCCCACGTGTGCTGAGCTCCTGCCACAGGCCGGCTCTGTGGCGCTGGGCTCAGGCCCAGCGCTGCCAAGCTAGAGGACAGAGGTGAGGAAGAAAGGGAGATGCACCCCAGCAGTGCGGAGACCTCAGTTCACATTCTGACTCCATCAGTTGCTATGTGATTTTGGCTGAGTGACTTAACCTCTCTGAGCTTCAGTCGCCTCATCTATGAAATGGGCATATCAATAACATCCACGGGTTTTTGTGGAGAACCGCATGAAATAAGACCTATTGCTAATGAACGGTACACAGCACATGAAAAATGCTTTCTGAATGGTAGCTATTATTTATATCATTTTTGCTAATAGCACTTTTACCCAAGTTATGTAACTTACCTTTGGGAGTCAATTTTGTCATTCGTGAAACAAGGGTAACAATAGCTCTCACTTACGAGGGTGGCTGGGAGGATGCTGTGTGCCCGGCGCAGGGCTGAGTGTAGGAACGAGGGGCCGTGGATTCTAGCCGGTTGGACAGCAGTAACCCTGAATGTTGTCACCCGGCGTCTCTGGCTACGCTCATCTCCTTGATGAGAAGGCTCTTTTCCTTTCCATCCCTCTCAGGCTGGCAGGCCTCACAGCCTGCCCTGTACCCCCTCCCTGCAAAGAAAAGGGGGTACCATGCATCAGGACCCCACAAGCATCCCTCCTTCACACTGCGGTGGGCACCTGGCCAAGCACAGCTGATGACCTATGAGGGACATGTCCTGACTCCAAAAGATGAGCAGGATGAATCAGAGCCCTTCTCCTGGGAATTTAACTAAAAATCCCCCAGGAGGGGTTTCTGTTGGTGCGACCATCATGTCCCAGTGGCCAAAGGCAGGAAAGACAGGAACACGGGGAATCAGTGAACCAGAGGGAGAAGGGTGAGGGGATGTGTAGCGAGTGGGCAGGGTCCCGGAGCAGCCTGGGTGTCCCTGGTTCCAGCTTCCCTGAGGTCCTGGCTGGAGTGCCCTGTCTCAGGCTGGCTGGAAAGCCCTGGTCCAGCCCTGATTCCACCGAGCACACCTGGGCTCCTCCCTGGGGCTCTGCAGACACCAACTGTGTCCAAAGGAAATTAGACGGAGGGGCTCTGTCCCCCCTGGGGGGTCAGCTGTGCTTTGGCTCACATAGATCCCTCCTCTCCCCCAGCCAGGGCAGCTACTAAGGCGCTGAGCAAATGCCGGCGGGCTCCTTCTTCTGGTCCGGCTCTTCTTCTGGGGGTGCAGAGCAGGGGCCATCATCACAGCGGGGGTGATGGGTGAAGACCACTCCCACACATGCACTCACCACACCCCTGCGGGCAGCAAAGTGAGGAATCTGTGGCCCAGCGTGCGAGACAGGCTGACCGCAAACAGTGCCAGGAGCAGCCGCTAGGTGGCCCCCGCTTATCTGTCCACGCGCCCTTCTGCAGGCCTGGGAGCAGTTCGTCTGGCTGGTATCCTCTGGTTGGGACCTGCCTGGGCCGGGCGAACTGTCATTTTCCATCCTCTGCCTTTGCCTTGCGGCTTCGCTGCCTGGAATGCCTTGTCCCCAAAATTCCAGGTGTCTCCACCTTCACAGCCCAGCACCCCACCCCCTCCTCCAGGATGTCTTCCCTGCCCATCCAGAGCAGACACCCCCAAAACTCTGCTGGCCCTTAGCACCCTCTCCACTCAGAATCTCAGCTCAGGGTCCCCCAGAAGGGTGACCTTCTGTCTGTACATAGACACTTCTGGAGCTTACCTCCTCTCCCCAAATCGGACTCAGGTTAGGAGTTCCCGCCTCACGTCTACAAACCTCACAAGTCCCCATTTAGAAGGGGGAGGTGGCGATTTCTTGTTCAATGAGGAGACCCAGGCTTGGAGAAGACAGGGAATCTGCTCAAGGTCACAGTGGGAAAGTCTGAAGCCTCATCTTGTCAGATGTTTCAAAGCACTTTCGCTCAGAACTTCCCGAGAGCCCTCTGAAGAGGGTGCTGTTGGCCCTTTAGCAGCCGTGGGGAAACCGAGGCTCAGAGGCACAGCTGCTTGCCCCAGGCCACTCGGCCACCACACGCCTCTCCACAAGGCTGACGGCCCCCCTGCCAATCCATTTAACCTACAGGAAAGGCCTCAAATGAGAGATGCCATCCAGAAGAGCCCAGGAACCAGGACTCCAACCCAGGTCCCCAACTCCCAGTTGATGCTGGGGGACCCAAACTCCCGGGTGGCCTGACTGCCTCCCTTGGGCCTGGGGAGTGGGCTGCAGGTGAGGCGGGCAGATAGCTCTGGAAGGAAGAGGCGGCTGGCAGGTTGGGAACCCAACTTGTGGGTGAGTTGACAGTGCACTCGGATGCCAGGGGCAGCAAGTGCCCCCCAACCCCAGCTTTCCGGGGCCCCCACCCCCAGGCAGTCTGCTGCACCCCTGAAGGCCCCGGAGAAGGATGAATACGGGGCGACAGACTGGGAGCCGGTGGGAGAGAGACGAAGACGGTGCCAGGGAACAGGCTGGCGGGCCAAGGCGCCCCGGGAGCCCGAACACAGCTCTGGGGAGGAGCGCGGGGAAGGGAACACAGGAGTCTATTCTGAAGCTGGGGGAGCCGAAGACTGGGAGGGCGACGCCCCGCCGAGAGGGGCGGGGGAGGGGCCGTCGGCCAGGCTCTCATGGCGGCCCGGGGGAGGGGGCGGCCGGCCGGGAGCTCGGCGTCGGTCGTGTGGGCGCCTCCCGGTCAGGAGTCACAATAGCAGCTCGTTAACAGCGCAGATTAAGGACTTTTGTCAATTACCTCTGAAGGCTGCACCGGGCGGATTAAATGCTTTTTAAAGTGCTGCTGGTGGGAGGGGGCGACTAAGAAGCCCCCTCCCGGCACAAATCCCTCCTCTCCCGGGCAGAGGAGGAGGCGGGGGCCGAGGCAGCGCTGGGCGCGCCCGGGGAATGCGGGCGATCGGCCGCGAGCGCGGGCAGAGCGCGGAGCGGCTCGCACGCGACACCGCGGGCCGCCTGGGCGAGAATAAGGCGTGGGGCCGGCTCTCCGTACGCGAGCACCGGACTCAGGCCTACCGGCTCTGGCCGAGGAGCCCCCAGGGCCAGCCTCGCGGGTCGGGGTCAGGAGCGGGCGGTCCCTGGTGGCGGGAGACTCTGGGCCTGGGCGCACTTGCCCCGGGACCTGGACCCAGATCTCGGACACCGGCAGGGGGTGCCCTTCAGCCGGCCCCCACCCCCGGGACCCGCCGGATCTCAGGGTGAGCCCCTGTGCCTTGAGGGGGCCGGGAGGAGCGCGGCACCTCTCCCCGGAGACGCCCGAAGGCCCCTCGGGGGCGCCCCCGGGGCCTGCCCGGCGCCGCGCTCCCCGCGCACGGTGAGTTGGCGCGGGTCCGGCCCGGGAGGAAGTTTGCGAGGAGGCGGCCCTCGGGGTTCTCAAGCCCCTCCGGGCCCGGCGAGGGTAGGGCTGCCCGCGGCTCTTTGCTGTCCTCCCGGGCTGGCCTCGGGGGTCTGGGCCGGCCCGCCTCTTCTCTATTAATTAGCCTTTGGGGAGGTGGAGTTTCCCCATCGCCGTCCGCGGTGTGTGCGTGCGTATCAGAGGGAGAGCGGGGGAGCAATAAAAGGCAAAGAGAGTCCAAGACAAAAAAGACACGGAGATTGAGAAGGAGGGGGGGAGGAGGGCGGAGCGCGCAGGGGAGGCGCGGGAGCCGGGAGCGGGGACGGCGCGCAGCGCGAGCGGCGGGCGGGCGGCGGGCGGCCGGCGGCTCTCGCGCTCCCGCTCCCGCTGTCGCCCGCACACACCCGCGCACACGCCGGCACGCACACGCACACACACACGCTCACACACACTCGCACACCAGCTCGCTGGCCCGGGCCGTCCCGGTGCGGGGCACCGAGGCGGGAAGCCGGCGAACAGAGCGAGCCCGCGCCCACCTCGGCGCCTTTGCGCTCCGCAGCGGCGCGCCTCGCCCGGCGTCCCCGCCAGCGGTCCTGCCGGAAGATGGTCAACGACCGGTGGAAGACCATGGGCGGCGCTTCTCAACTTGAGGACCGGCCGCGCGACAAGCCGCAGGTACGCGCGGGCCCGGGGCGTGGGGATACGGGGGCCCCGCGCGGTGGGCGAGGCGGTGGCGGCTCCGGCCGGCGGGCTGGGCACCCGGGCTGGAGTTTGGGGCGTACACCCCGTGAGGTTCGACAGGCCCGAGTTGGGGCGGGCACCCTCCTTGGCTCCAGAGGAGACACTTGAACTTGGGGTTCGGCTGCGGATGAGGGCGGCACCCCTGCAGGAGCCCCCTTGCTCCTCCAACGGACTCAGGTGCACGCCTGCGCAGAGAAAGTAAGGGACCCATAGAGTTTACAGTGTCACCAGCCCTTGAGCGCGAGCCTCTGTTTCCTCATCTCTACAATGGGCATCTGAACCATTTACTAAGTATCCCACCCTGGGCACCACCCCGTGCCAGGCGCCTGGCACGCGACCCCCTCCCCCTCATCTCCTCTGAATCCTCACACTGTAGCCAGCCTACCCCCACCCCATCCAGCAGAGGATCAATAAATATTTGCCTCTTGCAAGAACACTGGATATTGTGGTCCTCCAGCTTTAAGACAAGGGAAGCAGGATTCAGAGAGAGTTGCTTCTGCCCCAGGCCTTGTGGCTCTGCTGGGATTTGAACCCTGGGTCCTTGGGCTCCAGGTCTGCTCATCCCCCGCTTTGTGCTGCCTCTTCAGGGGGCCGTGGAGGAGGCCCAGGGCTGTGACTGGAAGGGGGGACGAGGACAGAGCTCCAGGGCTGGCCGGAGAGGGGCTGGGGCTGGGGAGCCGAGCGGAGGGGCAGCCCCGGGGCCGCCCCAGGCTGGCCTGCCCAGGGACTGGGGCAGGCAGGCGAGATGCGAGGTCTGCTCGCCAAGGAAAGGAAATAATGGAGCTGCCCGTTTTAAATTTCAAATTTCTCCCAGACAGATGTCATTGGGGAAGGAACAGTTCTTGTTTGCAGAGGCAGGAGGGGGGTGGCAGGGGCGGGCCTTGGCGGGCCCCTCACTCTCTCGGGAGCGGGAGCGGCAGCCTGAACGTTGTCTGGAGCCACATGCCTCCACACTTTGCAGAGCCCTTTCCCAACCGTCTGCACAACCTGGCTGTCGGCAGCAGCCTGGGTGGGGAGGCAGGGGTGCACGTGCCCTTGTCGCAGGAGGATGGCGGCGCAGAAAAGTCGAGGCATGCACCCAAGTCACACAGCATGTTAGTGGGAGAGCAAAGTTTCCAAGCCAGGTCTGACTCCACGCCTCTCCCAGCGCCTCCTGGCCCATTCTCCTTTCCTGTGAGCCCCCTTACAGGTACTGACTGCTTGTCATTTGCTTGTTAGCAAATTACTGTTTCCAAACGTTTGCTGCCTCTTTGTCCCCCAAACACACACACGCTTCACTCAGGGAAACCCTGCATATACTTCAAAACCTACTCAGGTGCCACCTCCTCCAGGAAGACCTCCCTGATGCCTGATGCCCAGTGGGCTCTGCCTTGATTCCCAGAAGCATTTAGCCTGTGCCACTCAGCTGCCTTTATCTCCCTGCCTTGTTCCCTAGCCTTGGTCCCTCCTCTAGCAGGAGCTCCCTTTGGACACATGCTTCTTCTGGGCCCCCATCGTGGGGTCTCCCCCTGGGTCCAGGCTCCTGTCTTTCCATGCAGCTCAGGCTGGGAGCTGAGGGATTTTTGCTGAACTGAACTGCATGAAGCCTGGCCAGGAGGAGCTGGGAGAGCAGCGAGGGCTGATGTGTCTCAAGGGGAGGTGGCTTCTAGGGGATCTATTTGAAATGTGGTTTTAAGGCCTCCTGGGTCAGCCCTGGCCTCTCCGCTGCTTCGTGGGGTATATATTCCAACTGCCACCAGGCCAGAGCCCAGCTGTCTGCCCCTTGGCATTGGAGGCTGCCAAGAGCTTGCGGTCTCAGTGGCCTGGGCCAATATCAAACACCACCTTCTCACTCCACCCCTTTGGTGATCCAACGTGTAGACAGGCTGTCCCGTTGTCAGCTCCAGGCTTGTCTGAAGCTTCAGGTAGGAGGCAAGCCCTTTCCTGTGCCCACTGTCGGAAGGGTTCCCTTGGACCTGGCCTTCTTGCATCCATAGTTTCATCTCGACCACTGACATGCTTTGTGACTGGGTGAGTTACGTCCCCTCTCTGAGTCTGGGCTTTACCATCTGTAAAATGGGAACAGCAATCACTGCTTCCTCCTCACTTCACAAGGGCTTACAAGAGTTGAGTGAAATACTGGTGTGCTTTGCAAACTGTGACGCGCTGTACACCCTTGAGGAAGGTGGTTCTCGGAGTAGCCTGACCCCTTTGCCAGGCCGTCAATGTCCCGATCATCCCTTTGCCCACCAGGGAAAGCAGTATGACCACCCAGTTCCCTCCAGAAGGTTCTGACTGAGGTTCTCTAATGAGGCACTTCCTCCAGAAAAGGTGCCAAAGCCACACTGTGAGTGCCAGCTGTGCTCATCTGCATATCTTCTTGTTTCTTAGTCAGACTGCTCTGGGAGTTTGGCAGCAGGAATGATCAACCCATTAAACAGATGAGGAAACTGAGGCTGAGAGTTGCAGTCAGGACTTGAGCTTGGGTGACCGATGAGCCTTGTTGGGAAGACTAAGGAAAGAGAGGCTGGCTGCCCTCGACTCTGCCTGCTTGGGCGCATTATGTAATTCCCGAGGGGAGGGCTCCGGTACCTGCATGGTTCCCCAGGGCACACACCACACCCCCTGCCATTGAAGGGCCTACATCCAAGTGCTGCTGTTTCTGCGGACAGCCTCGGGCCGGCTGTGTCCCGGGCTGTCCGGCCTCAGCTCCTCATTTGCCAGGTGACCTTGGACAAGGTGCCGACTTCATTAGAGCTTCACTTCTCCCCCTGCAAAGCCAAGGGGCTCTCACACCCTTAGGGCAGCAGGTGATGGTGGAATATTTGCCAGGAGTTCGGAGTTGCTCAGATAAAAGGACCTAGAAATAGCCACGATTCTCCTAATCATCTAGTGTGGGGCAGAAAGTCACCCTGTAACTATCTCCTCTTGTTGCGGGGGGCGGCGGGGTGAGCAGTCCCTGAGTCAAACCACCCCTCAGGGAGGTCAACCTCTGAACCATCCCAAGCAGTGTCTCTTGATATTTTCAAAACTTTGAAAAATATTCCAGACAGGGAATACAATTCTCATTGGGAAGTTCTTCTTGATGTCTAACCTAAACCCTGCTGCATTTAATTCACTCAGTGGCTATTTATAGAGTCGCTCCCTCCTCTAGGAGAGACAGCTGTAAACCTGTGCCTCGGGAACTTAGAGTCTCTTGGGAAGAACACACTCGCATCATGGGATTATGATAAACCACGATGGGCATTATAAAGAAAACCATGCATGCCTCTGTCCTCATTGCCTGGGCTTTGGGTGGAGGTCACTGTGTTCGGGTTGGATGAGAAGGAGGCTGAAGAGAACAGGGACTGCCAGTCAAGGACTCCTTCCTTCTCCTTCTGTTTCCTGGGCTCCTCCCCATGGAGCTCAGCCCCTAGCCCAGTGGTGTGGCTGTGATGAGGAGGCCAGAGGCCAGGAGAGGCTGGGGTGGGAGGGCAGAGACCACTTCCCCAGGGAGGCGGCATTTAAGCTGGACAACATCTGTCAGATCTGTGACGCCAACCTGTGATGGAAATGACAGAGGGGGTGTCCCGGGTGATGCTAGTGGTAAAGAGCCCGTCTGCCAATGCAGGAGACTTAAGAGATGCAGGTTCGATCCCTGGATGGGGAAGATCCCCTAGAGGAGGGCATGGCAGCCCACTCCAGCATTCTTACCTGGAGAATCCCAGACAGAGGAGCCTGGTGGGATACGATCCATAGCGTCACAAAGAGTCGGACACAAGTGACTTAGCACACACACACAGGCAGCTGGAGAGAACTGGACAGGAGTTGGGGGGGAGGGGAGGGGACAATAGCGGAGGCTGGGGGTGGGGCGGGGCCTGCTCCTGAGGCCTCTTAGTCCCGGAGTGGTCTGAGCCGAGTGTCCTGGGCGTTTTGCCATCAGGAGGGTCCTGGGCCACTGGGTGGGGTATGGTTGGTGGGCCTGGGAGGAGGTGGGGAGGCTAACAGGGAGATGGTTGCGGTGATTTTAAAGTAGACGATGGGGCTTGGACCAGATCGGGGCTGGGGGGGCCATAGGAACAGAGGGGCCCTGGGGATTCGAGGAGGTAAGAGTGGACACAGCCAGGTGCTGGCTGGGGGTGGGGGTGAGGGAGAGGAACCCAGGGAAGCCCCCGGTTTTGGGGGGGCTGGTGAGGCTGATACCATCCCTGGGTGGAGGTCTCAGGATGGCTCAGGCTTGAGGTGGAACAAGCCTGGTTTAGGGGTCAGTGGGCTGGAGGTCTGGAGATCTGGGGGTGGGGAGGGCGAGCAAGACCCTCACAAGACACATCAAGAGACCCTCCCTCACTGGAAATGGACTCAGGACTGAGTGCTCTCTGGGGAGGGCTGGCGGCTCGGCTCCTCCGGGAGGGGTGGACGCGGGCAGTTCCCAGACCCTTCTTTTTGTCCCTAGAACACCTCCGGCCACTCTCCTGGGGCCTTCCTGGTGGCCTGAGGCTTCAGACGGCCTTCGGCGTGGCTCATGTTCAGAGGCCCCTGGCAAGACAGGGAGCTCTTCCCCCAGGACTCATAGAGTGAGCCACCAAGCCCTCTTCCTAAATCTTTGGGGACCCCCCCCAGAATTTTGAGCAGAACAACCACCTCCTCTTTTTAAGGGGTCTCTGGGATCTTCCTTCTGCCAGGGCCAGAGCATCAGAGCCCAGCCCAGGTCAGGCACTGTTTGCCTGGCCGGGGAGCAGATGTGTGTTCCTGGGGAGAGAGGAGGAAGACACCCCCAGGGCCTTTGGGCTGGGCAGGGGCTGGGCTGCCCCGCTCGCGACGATGCGTGAGCCCAGGTGCAGCTCTGAGTCTCTGCCAGGCTCAGACCACACTGCCGCACCTTGGTTTTCCCAACGCAGACCCACACAATGTGTTTCTGGGGCTGGGGTGCTCCTAGGAGGTGAGAGCCTGGGAGCGGCTTGCACCTGGATCTCACCTTGCCTGGCCTCTCCCTGGGGGAGATTTTCTTCTTCCTACTCTGGTATAAGGAGTGTAGTCTCAGCCTACTTATGGGACCACGACCCAGCTCCTTTAAAAAAACAGGGAAAGAGACTTCCCTGGTGGCCCGGTGGTGGCCTCCTGCACACTCCCAATGCAGGGGGCACAGTTTCGATCCCTGGTTGGGGAACTAAGATCTCACATGCTGCACAGTATGGCCTTAAAAAAAACAAGGAAGAAGTGGGGTGCGGCGCAGGCAGAGCACTGTAGCCGTGAGCCCTTCCTTCCAGAGCCCTCTCAGCCTCAGCCAGACCCCGTGGCCATCCCTGGAGGCTGGGGACTCAGAGGAGGCAGTTGGGGCGCACGCCGCCCCTCTAATGAGGCAGCTCCGGGGCTTTCTCCTCCGGCCTCCGCTGGCGTGAGCCCACTGTGTCCTGCCCTGGCTGGGGTGTCCTGGGCCGCCTCGGACCGCGGGCCAGCGCTAGGAGCCATGCAGGGGATGAAGCCACATCCCTCCAGCTGGGAGCTCGCACAGGGGCTTAGCACTAGCAAGCAGGTCTCAGACCCTGGGGTTCTAGGATGCCCCCCACCCCCCGCCTGGGTTGCCTTCCCAGTCTACAGGCTTCTTGCCCCTGGGAGGTGGGGACACCAGGCATGCATCGCTCTGCCCCGGTCAAGGGCTGATGAGTTAAACACCAGCCCCCCGCACGCTCCACTGGGCTGCTCGCACCTGAAGCCCCCCTTATGGTCCCAGATAGATTTCTTTGCAAGGCACGTAAACTGCAGCCTATAAAAGCGAATAGCACTTCATGTTTAAGGTGATCTCTGAAGACTGATTCTCCTCTGCTGAGTGGCCGGTTTCATCTCCAGGCTCTGGCGTCCCCCTGCCCCTGGGGGGACCCCCTGCAGCCTTCTCCAGCGCCCCCCACTCCTCTGCGCCCTTGACCTTCCCACCAGGGACCAAGGGCCTGGGTGGAAGCAGATGCCCAAGAGGACTGTGGTCCTAGGGACACACCCGGGGGACGTGGCTGGCCGCTCTGCCTCCCCGGCTGGGGACCTTAACACTTTCCTGTGGAGGACGTCACTCAGAGCTGCTCGGGGCAAGGTGTCTCGCGACGGAGTCCGGGAGGAGACTGACAGGGACTCACTGGCTGACACAGGGCTTTGTCTCAAACCCCGGCCAGGCTTCCCACAAGGCAGGACTGCGGTCGGATGGCTCAGCAACAGCTGCACAAACTGGCAATGGGTTTGAACCCAGTCACCCGGGCCTGGGTTCAAATGCTCCTGTGACCTTGGGCAAGGCTCTTCTCTCTTTGAGCCTCAGTTTTCCCATCTGCAAAATGTAACCAACCACAACAAGGGGATGTTTGGAGGTTTCAGTGGTGGGAAAACAGCATAAACTCAAGTAATAGCAGTGACAATGCGATGCCCACCCCTGTGGATCCTGCTGACTCGTGGCAGGGTTGGGGCAGCCTGGAGGCAGCCTTCATTCTGTGCCAGGCCTTCCTGGGTAGGCACAGGGCTCAGTGTGGAGGTCATGATCCTCTGCCCTGCCAGTCACCACGGGTCCCAGGGCCTTCACCTCCTCCCACGCCTACAAGGTCATGGAGAAATGTCCTAGCCCGTCTGCCTTACCCTCCATCCATCCAACAACCAGTTGATCTATGCCTTTTGGGGGAGGGTGGGGCTCACGGTTTAGAGCAGGTCTCCTAGACCTGGGCTCTGCCGGCCCCAGAATTCTAGCTTCCCTTGTATCCACAGCTTTCATCATCTCCAAGGGGATCCATGCCCCCAAAGAGGGTAAGGGTCATAGTCCATGGGACACGAAGTCCCTACAGGCAAGGCTGGCATGACTGTCCACTGCTACCCCTCAGGGACTGGCTTGGACCCTGGCTCGGGGGGAACACCAGGTAATACTGAATGGATGTTTGAGTGAATGAATGCAGTCAAAGGTGATGATTGTATTTGTTAGGGCCACCGTGGGGGCAGCAAGGGCTGTGGGAACACTGAGGAGGAGCCTCACCCAAACTGGGAGGAGGGCTGAGGAAACAGTCCAGGAAGGCTTCCTGGAGGAAGTGACATCTAGCTGAGCCCTGAAGAAAGAGAGTTTAGCTATGGAAGAGAAGCAGGGGAGGCTGATGCCTCGGGCTGAGGGAGCAGCCTGTGTAGAGCTGGCGGAGGGGAGCTGACGTGTTCAGGTCTGACTGGAGGAAATCGTGCCACTGTGTGGAGACCCAGCATGTCTGAGCAGGTGTGGGGAGAGGTGGGGTAGAATGTTGAGTCCCATCACTGCAGGGACAGGCTAAGGAACCCTCTCCCTCATCTCTCCAACAACACAGACCCCTGACCCCCATCTCCTCTGGTGCCAAATAGGAGATTCAGGGGTTACGTGTAGAATTTGAATTTAGGGAAAAGTAGCTATTGCTCTGCCATATTTTCTCATAGAAAAATACAGTATATAAGAGGCTATTTTTTTTTAATTTGGCTGCACCTTGCTGCACATGGGATCTTAGTTCCCTGACCAGAGATCAAACCTGCGCCCCCTGCAGTGGAAGCATGCAGTCTTAACCACTGGACCACCAGGGATGTCCCTAGAGGCTATTTTATGTATCACCAAGAAAGAAAATTGTCAATCACAATTGTAAGATCCTCCCAAATGTCAGAGATGTTGAGATATGGAGACCGGAAAAAAAAAAAAAAAACAAGGAAGGGACATTCTAGCATCAATGACACAGAAATAGCACTTTAGGTGGAAAATAAAAAACCCGACACCTCCAGATGCTCTGTGCACATTGATCATGAGATAATAAAAGCCGCTAATATTTATTGCACAAACACAGCGTGCCAGGCATGGCTCCAAGTGCTTTAATATACTAACTCATTTAAAGATGCCTCTTGGATTCAGAAAGTTGAAAACGTGGGGAAAATTCAGCGCTTGGACATGCCTGGCCCCGGGAGGAGGCGGATGGTGGGGGGGCCCAGTCCGAGCCCAGCTTCTCATCGGCGGAGTGACCATGGGCAAGCCCCTGGCCTTCTCTGGGCCTCAGTGTCCCCGTGTGTCAAAGGCTGAGTGATCGCTCTGCAGGCTTCCCTTGGGCCATGAGGGATGCGAGCCAGTGAGTCTGGATTTGTGCTCCATCACGGTGCCTCCTTTAATTACAAGCTGAGCTGGGTCCAGGGGGTCTGGGGGTGCTTTGTGAAGAGGGGGAGGAAGGCAGGGCAGGCAGGAGAAGAAAGGGGGTCTGGGAGATGCTCAGGAGGTCACCCCCGGCCTGGGGACTCATGGCAGCTTCGTGGGCCTGCAGTGGCTTCAGGACGCGGGGTGTGGGTGCTCTGGGTTGAAAAGACCTTCAGTGACAGCAGCCCATGACCCCAAGGCATCCATTCCGCTGAGACAGCGCGATGATTTGTAGCATCGCTGTGTCACCATCGCAGCTGTCCTTCCCGAGTCTGCACGGCGTCGGGCGCCTGCCTATGCGGCGGGCGTGTCATCATTGCCCCCATTTGACAGATGAGGACACCAAGGCTCAGGGAGGCGAAGACCCTCACTCAAGGTCACCCTGCAGGAAATGACAGCTTGGGGACCCGAGCTCGGCCTCTCTGGCTGCAGAGTGGGAGTCCACCTCCCGCCCGCCCTTACCAGACCCAGGAGGGCTCCACGTGGGGCGATGTGCCCGCCTGGGGCAGGGGCAGCGAGGCAGAAGGGACTGTCCCTCCATCTCCTGGCTCTCTGCCCTGGTTCCTCTTGTCACCGTCCCCACCTGTCTCCCTGCCTCTCTTGCTGTCTCGAGCTTGCCGCCTTTGGTGGCGGCGGGTGGGGGCCTGTTTCTCTGTCTCCCCTCTGGGGCTCTGTTTCTCCGCGACTCCCCTCCCTCGTCCTCCAGAAGGCGACCCTCTGAGGGTCCCCGGGCTTCACAAAGGCCAGAGGGCCCCATCTGAGGGCTGAAGCCGGAGGCCCGGTTCTGCCCCTGACGTTGTTCCTTCTCTCTCCTCGTCTGTCCCTCTGTCCGTCTCTGCATCCGCGTGCCGGGCTGGCCCGCAGCGGCCGGGCTGCGGCTACGTGCTGTGTACCGTGCTGCTGTCCCTCGCGGTGCTGCTGGCCGTGGCGGTCACCGGCGCCGTGCTGCTCCTGAACCACGCCCACGTGCCCGGCACGGCGCCCCCGCCCGTCGTCAGCACCGGGCCGGCAGGGGCCAACAGCGCCCTGGTCACCGTGGACAGGGCCGACAGCTCACGCCTCAGCATCCTCATTGACCCGCGGTGCCCTGACCTCGCCGACGGCTTCGCCCGCCTGGAGGGCGCCCAGGCCTCTGTGCTGCAGGCGCTGAGCCAGCGCCAGGCCGAGCCACGGCTGCCGGGCGAGCAGGAGCAGGAGCTGCTGGACACGCTGGCGGACCAGCTCCCTCGGCTGCTGGCCCGGGCCTCGGAGCTGCAGGCCGAGTGCGCCGGGCTGCGGAAGGGGCACGGCGCCCTGGGCCAGGAGCTCAGCGCCCTGCAGAGTGAGCAGGGCCGCCTCATCCAGGTAAGGGTGGGGGTCTGGGCAGGGGTGGGTGGGGCAGCTGCCACTGCCTGCTGGCCCTGCTGAGTGCCTGGTGCCCACAGCGCCCCTCCGTCCCCAAGTGCCCCAGGGCCAGGGGCTATTGCAATTCCCGTCTATAGACAAGCAGATGAGGCTCAGAGAGGTGAGAGTCTCACCCAAGGTCACACAGCTGGTGCGGCCGTCCTGGTGACATGGGTGTTAGTGCAGCCTCCACGGCATGCAGTAGTCCATCCATCAGTCAAATCCACCCATCGAGTCAAATCCAGGCCTGGAAGGGCTTCCCAGTGCTCCTGGGCAGGTGGACACAGGAGAGGCAGGACATGGCCTCCATCAGGCTAATAGAAGCTCACGGTCACGTGGTGCTCAGTGGCAAGCCGCCCCCACCCTCGGCTGGGCCATGTGGCCAGAGAGGGCCGTACCCCCTCCGCCAGGTCCCCCATTCACTGCCACTTGGTGCCCACAGCTTTCCAGGGGAGGGGGGCACAACTGAGAGCTCAGCCAGACCCTTAGTATGTCCTCAACACATCCGCCCCCTGCGGCCCCCACCAGAGCCCGGCCAGGTGGGTCCCAGCAAGCACCTGGTGGATCTGGGTGAAGGGTTTCTAACACTGACCATGCCTGCAGCACCAGCAAGAATTTTCCCCTTGTAGAATCAGGGCTCAGGATCAGCTCACTGACCTTCTGCTGTTTTCCAGAAGAGAAAACTAAGGCCCAGAGCGGGGCAGTGGCCAGGGGTACAGTGGCCAGGTCTCCCCAGGTGGTGCTAGTGGTAAAGAACCCACCTGCCAATGCAGGAGATATAAGAGACACAGGTTTGATCCCTGGGTCGGGACGATCCCCTGGAGGAGGGCGTGGCAACTTATGCCAGTATTCTTCCCTGGAGAATCCCCTGGACAGAGGAGCCTGGCGGGCTACAGTCCACAGCATCACAAAGAGACACGACTGAAGCAACTCAGCACACGTCTGTGCACAGTGGCCTCCGGAGCACTGCCCAGCCTCCAGCCTTCACCCTGTCTGCTGCCCACCCCCCACCCCCATGACTTAGGTCCTTAGGGACTGAGAGGCGGGCCCCACCCCTGCCATGGGTCCAGCCCCTTCCGGACACATGAAATGACCAGGCATTTGGTCACTCACCAGCTCAAAAGTGATGGGCCTTTTCCCTCCCCCGAAGGCTGCAGCTGGAGAAATTACAGTCCTCGTCATCCTGTCTGGGTGACTGATGGGGAGGTGGCCTCCCCATCCTGGGGGGGTGTTCAGCTGCCCTCCTGCTGCCCCTCCATCTGCAGCGTCCCCGCCCCTCATCCTCAGGGCTCAGGGAGACCTCCGGACTTTCTGGGGCATCTGGGCGCCTCACTCTGCTCTCCCCGTGGCTCAGCCCTGGACAGCCTGGCCCGCCTGCAAACGCTCACCTTCAGGGCAGGGGCGGAGGACTGGGTGGGAGCTCAGGGCCTCCCACCCGCTCACCTGCACGGAGGCCTGGAGCTGTCCCCGGAAGACTAATGGCTCTTCTGGGGCCCAGCACTGCCTCGGCTCACCTGATATATTCACTTCTCACAAGAATGTTTAATTTGACTCATTTCCCACAGAATCAAGGTGATTTCAGAGACCATGTGTCTTGCAGAGCCATGTTGCCATAGCTCCTAGTTTCCCTTCTACGAGCTTCCCAAACTCTCCGCTGTCAGCCTGAGACCTGGGCTTCTCAGAGCAATGCCCACGGCACTCCCTGTCGGAGTGACCAGAGCTGCTTGTTAAAAGGCATGTCCCTGGACCTCACCCCCAAACCCCTGGGTCCCAGCAGGTCAACGAGCACCTGGCTGACTCCTGTGCACTGATGTACAGATGTCTAAGACCCACTGGCCCAGGAGCGGCAGAGCTGAGTGTTCCTGCTCTCACGGTTTGAGTCAGTAGAGTCAAGCCTTCACTGAGGACCAGCTGTGCATCCCTGAGCACCTCCAGTGCCCTCCCGGGATGGGGCACTGCCCTCTTCACCGGTGACATGGGGCTAGCACGGTCCATGCCAAGTAGGATGCTGGCGTTCATAGATGTATTGGTCTCGGCGGGTGTGTGGCACGTTAGAGATGCTGTCTACACATCCCCACTTCTTCTATTATGACGGTAGAAACTTTGTAAACTGAAGTTGCAGCCCATGGGGAGCCACCACTGAAAATCTTTTTTTCGGTCCACACTGTGTGTAATAAGCACTTTGCAGTACAATAGCCCCAGGAGGTGGTGAAGCGAAAGTGAAAGTTGCTCAGTCGTGTCTGACTCTTTGCAACCCCATGGACTATACAGTCTATGGACTTCTCCAGGCCAAATACTGGAGTGGGTAGCCTTTCCCTTCTTCAGGGGATCTTCCCAACCCAGGGATCGAACCCAGGTCTCCTGCATTACAGGCAGATTCTTTACCTGCTGAGCCAGAAGGGAAGCCCAGGAAGTGGAGGGAATCATTACCCCCATTCTACGGAGCGGCAGACTGAGGCTCAGCATGGCAAAGCGCCTTGTTTAAGCTCCAACAACTGAGAAGTGCCGGAAGCAGCAGCTCCGATTTCACTAACTCTGAAAGTCGCCAGGTCCTCTTGAATGCAGCTGTGCAGCTCAGCGAGCAGGGGCTGACTTTCCCCATTAATTCGGGGCATGTTTTTATGTACATTTTCAACTTTAATCATTTGCTGATTTAAACTGAGGTCTTCCTTGCCCGTTAGCAAGAGCTGGCCATGCCTGAATTTCTCGAGTGTGTCTGCCTCGTCACAGAAGGATGGGCAGTACAGATTCGACTGAACCAATGGGCTCGGTGATCTTTCCTGCTCACATCCCACAGGGCCGCCCCCTGCCCCTGCTCCCTGGGGCTTCCTGCATCCCGCTGCAGAGCTCCTCCAATGGGGCTTGTCTCCAGGACACTGCAATAAGACCCCAGGAGAAAGCTGCCACCCTGCCTCAATGCTCTCTCCACCCGTCTGGGTGCCTCTTCCCCGGGCCTGAGCCCCCACTGAATCACCTGCTCAGCAGAGGGGAAACTGATAAGGAAACTAAAAGCTTTGTCGGGCCTCTGCTCCCAGACAAGCCGAGAATCATATTTTGTGAACTGCTGGCACTATATATTCCTATTTCCCTTCCTCGAACGAGCTATTATCTGGCCAGTGACAGATTCGGTGTGTAAAGAAAGACCCAGCAAGCTGCATGCTCACTGGCTGGTTGCAGCCTGCCTGTGACCCTGCCTCCCTCCTCCTGGAGCCCTGGGGTGGGGAGGTGACAGACCACAGACCCCTCAGGCAGCAGGCACAACCGAGAGACCCCAGGTGGAACAGAGCCGCACTAATTGAGCCCCAAACCTCTGGACCGTGATCACAGTGGGAATGGTACAAATCGAGAAAGCAAACTGAACACATGCTGTCGTGAACCTTCCCCCTCACTAGAAAACAGGGCCCACCGTGGTGGTTCGCGAGGAGGAGAGTAATGCGAAAGGGGTTTGGTTACCCTTCCAGGGTTATTTGAAAGTGATTGGAGGAGGGGCCTGAGCGAAAACCCAGAATCAACACCAGAGCCTGGATCCAAATCACGGTGCGGCCTGCCCCCACCTTAGGCTCCCTGCACGACGGCACAGTCCTGGGTTCCATTCCTGCCAGTCAGTCCACGCGGGTCATGGCCTGAGTGTGTCCTCCACAGGGGCCTCCCCTTCTGGGCCTCAGTTTCCCTGTTTGTAACAAGGGGACAACACCTCAAGCCCTTCCACCTGGCAGTGCTATGGGGTCAGGTGAAGGGATGGACATCAGCGAGCCCTGGAAAGTCAAAGCTGGGTTCTCATGGGGATGCATGGCGGGGGGTGCAGGCCTCCAGGGTCCCACCTGTGGAGTTCAGACCCAGCACCCCTGCTTTGTAGCCTTGCTGGGCGATGAGATGTTGGGTGAAGGTGTTTTGTAATCTGGAAGGTGCCTCATGAATTCCCATACTGAGGCAGGCACCCAGGTGCTGAGTGCTGAGTCCCTGCTGGGGGCTGCATGCTGTGACTGATCCCCAAGGCACCTGATCCAGGGAGGCTAGGTTAGCCCTGTCTCAAGGCTGGGTTAATCACTCACCTGCAGCCGTGTAACTGGCAAGTGGGTGAGTTGGGTTTTGAACAGTGGGGTCTCCTTTAGTCAGCTCAGCGGGGCTGAAGGCACAGAAATGGATGGAGGACAGGGCCCGCTGGCAGCAGCGGCACGGGGGTCTCCTCCCACCTGAGCCCCCTTCCTTTGCGCACCGGGACTGAGACCACCGTAGGTGGCGGCCAGAATAAGTCAGGAGCTCGCACCAGGAGCGTGCCTCCGCCTTGTGTGTGCACCAGAGCTGTTGCCACCCCAGTGCTCCACTCACTCAGGGCTCCGTCCCCCCGGATCCCCACCCACACGGAGCTCCACCCACCTAACGATCCACCCACCCAGAGCTCCACCCTCCCGGAGCCCCACCCACCCAGAGCTCCACCCACCTGGAGCCCTACCCACACAGTGCCCCACCCACCTGGAACTCCACCCACCCAGTGACTTCACTCCCCCTGGAACTCCACCCACCGAGCGCTCCACTCACCAGGAGCTCCACCCACCCGGAGCTCCATCCACCCAGAGCTCCACCCACCCAACGATCCACCCACCAGGAGCTCCATCCCTCTGGAGCTCCACCCACACAGTGCCCCACCCACCTGGAACTCCACCTACCCAGTGACCCCACTCCCCCTGGAACTCCACCCACCGAGCGCTCCACTCACCCAGAGCTCCACTCACCAGAAGCTCCACCCACTCGGGCTCCACCCACCAGGAGCTCCACCCACCCAGAGCTCCACCCACCTCTGTGCCCTACAGCTTCTCTCTGAGAGCCAAGGCCACATGGCTCACCTGGTGAACTCTGTCAGCGATGTCCTGGACGCCCTGCAGAGGGACCGGGCGCTGGGCCGATCCCATGTCAAGGCTGACCTTCAGAGGGCACCTGCGAGGGGATCACGACCCCGCGGCTGTGCCAATGGTGAGTGGGGTGGGGGCTGCCCTCCTTGGATGACCTGGGTGCCCAGGTTCATCCCCACAACGTCCCCCACCTGCCCCACTGACGAGACTATATTGCGTCTGTGTGCCGAGGACTTCCTGCTGCCGGGCAGCACTGAGCACCCTACCTATACCCTCCTGTGAACCCCTCTCCCAGCCGGATGAGGTGGAGCTCACTGCACCCATTTTCCAGATGAGGAAAGTGAGGCTCAGAGAGGGTGCTCACTCACCACATCCACCCAGGGAGAGGCGGAGTCACAGCCTTCCCCCAAGGCCAGTGCTCTGGAGCCCACTTGACTCTGCTGGACAGACAAGTCAGAGACCCAGGGACACAGGAGGGTGGGGAGGAACGTGGGTGCGGGGCCCAGTGCCTTGACGGCCTTCCCTGTCTCAGGCTCTCGGCCACGTGACTGTCTGGACGTCCTCCTGAGCGGACAGCAGGAGGACGGCGTTTACTCCGTCTTCCCCACACACGACCCCGCCGGCTTCCAGGTCTACTGTGACATGCGCACAGACGGAGGTGGCTGGACGGTAAGTCTCCCTGGGTGTGCGGCCGGCTGGGCCAGGCCCCGCCTCCTCTGGACCCTGCAGATGTCTGAGCAGATCCTGGGGTGACCCAGGAGGCTGTGCACGTAAACCAGGGGTGCTTTTCCTGGCCCTGCCCAGAGGCTTGCCAGCTCTCACAAACCTGCCCGTAATCTCACCAAAGCATGCACAGGGCAAGTGCGGGGCATGTGCTGACACTTGGGGGCTGTGTGCTGACACGTGGGGGCCACTTGGGGGCAGGTGTCAGATCCCGATGTCTGAGTGGAGCCGCCTTACACTCCCTGAGCCTGCAGCCCCCACCCCTACCCTGGGCAGTGGTTCTGGAGCGGTGGAGGGGTACTGAGGTTGGGTCCTGGGACGACCGGCTGCTACTGTGAGTTCAAGGGCAGACGTCTTCCGTTATTCAGTAGGTGGTGTGTGCAGGAGACACAAGGGGGAGCACGCACGGTTGCTGTGAGCAGAGACCCCCCAGGGTCTCCTGGCGAGGAGCTATCGCCATCTCCTTGCACCTCCTGGTTCCTGCCCAGATGGGAATTGGGAGCAATGGAAAGGCAAGGGTGAGAGTCGCAGGTGGCCTGAGACCTCCCCAGGGCCAAGAGAAGGAGGAGATGGGCGTGGCAGGGCAGAGGCCCTGGTTTGAAGACCTGGAGGTCTCCTGATCGGCCAATGGAGAAGCCCCTTCCACAGCAGGGTCAGCACACAGGTCTCCCCTGGTCTGCGCCGCCAAGTCCTCAACTCTGCCTTCGCAGGGGGAATGTAGCCACGAAACTAAAACGCCTGGGAGGTGCGTGGTGGCATACGAGGGTGAGGGCAGCCGCAAATGGAGCAGGAGGCGAGACAGGGAGGCCTGAGCGAGGCAGAAGGGCAGGGCCCAAGTAGATGCTCTCGGAGGGCAGAGCTGCCGTCAGGAGCTGGTGTAAGAGCTTCTGAGAGCCCCCCGAGGACCCCGAGACAGACATTCCTCTAAACGTCCCTACAAGCTCCGGAGAGGGGAGCGTATAAATGCACTGGACTCACATCTGAGCCTAAAAGCACTTTTGTTTTCCTCTCTCGGAGCGTCTGAGTTATGGCCTCCGCCTCTGGGACCCCCTCGGCGGGCAGAACAGCTCTGATACGCCAGCCAGAGCCCAGAAATCAGAGTTAAGGGTTAGGACAGGCTTAATGAAAGACCAGGATGCCGGCCCAGACCATGCATCTTCCACTCGGGTGGAGTGGAAGCCAATCTCCTGGGAAGTCAATCAGAGTTGGGGCCGGAGGTGGTAATTCCTCGGGCCTGGGCTTTGGGGCTGATTAGAGGGGAGTCGATGAGGTGCACTGGCCTGCCCAGCCCTCCCACCCAGACATCTGGATCAGCCGGCCTGGAAGAAAGGCCATTCTCAGCAGAGAAGGGCCAGCGAGGCCTACAGACGTTAATATCCATTTGGGCTTCCGTCAAAAGCAATCTTTTCCCAGATACCTCTGGGCGTCTGTCAGGATCACCTCCCTGCCACACGGGATCTCTTGGAAACTCAATTGCTGTTTGGGAGGGAGCTGGTTGCCACCTTGCTGGACCTCGATACCATCCATCCTCATTTAGGCTCCATGTCCAAACTGCTGGGCCTCGAGTGCCAACACGGGGGACAGGGTGCCTGGGGCCAGACACGCTAACCAGAACCTGCTTCCCAGAGAGCCGGGACTGCAAGAGGTTGGCACTCAGCATCCCTGGTTGCCTAGGGGCACTTTACAGTTTCTATACTGTGGCCCTGCCGGCACTGCAACGCCTGGAGACTCACAGGGCAGCCTCAGCGAGGGCAAGAGGTTTGTTCAAGTCATCCAGGTGGTGCTAGCGGTAAAGAATCTGCCTGCCAATGCAGGAGACAAAAGAGATGAAGGTTTGTCAGTCCCTGGGTCGGGAAGATCCCCTGGAGGAGGGCATGGCAACCCACTCCAGCATTCCTGCCTGGAGAACCCCACGGACAGTGGAGCCTGGCTGGCCACAGTCCATAGTGTCGCAAAGAGTCAGACATGACTGAAGTGACTCAGCACGCATGCACCTGGCAAATAAGCAGCCCGGCCTCATGCAAGTTCATGGAACCAACTGTCACATGGTGTCACTTGTCAGTTTACGGCTCAATCATGGGGTGCCAGCCACGGGCCAGAGGATTCCGCAGCAAGATGCCAGCCTGGCAGGGAGCTAGACAAGTCAGCCAGCCTGTGTGGGGGCCGCAGGGCTAGGGGTCCAGGGGAACCCCAGAGGGGAGCCCCCTCACCCCACCTGGGGCGGCCAGAGAGGCTCCTGGACAGGGAGGTTGGGGCGCAGGGGGATGAGGTGAGCACAGTGTCCAGGCAAAGGGAACACGTGCAGGGGCGGCAGGGAGGGGGCAGGGCTTGTCCTGGGACCTTGGTGGCTCCGTTCTGCTGGCGTATCGCTCAGGGGGCCGGGGATGGGTGGGAAAGCAGGCAGGGCCTGGGTCGCATGGTTTTGCAGATGCTATAGGAGTCAGGCTTTCTCCCTGGGGGCACGATGGGCTCTTAGGAGGGAGTGACCCAGAGACGGGGGGCCAAGGGGGAGAGTGTGCGAGCAGCTCAGGAGCGGGGGTTGCAGGGGCCTCGAATCCTTGCAGAGGGCGTGGGAGTCTCCATGTGGGAATGAGGTCAGGGGATAGGGCGACACAGGCCTCAAGGTGGCCTCTGCTGATGTGGCCACTGGCCCTGGTGGAACCCCAGCCCCTCTCCACACTCACCATTGACCACAGTGACCCAGGCCACATGGGGTCAAGCTGATCAGCCAGACCACTGCTGAACCTGCCACATGCACCCCACCCACACCTGCCCCGCACAAGGAGGAAGGCAGGATGGAAGGTCTGCCCCCTGTTCACCTGTGACCCTGAGCAAGGGGCCCAGCTTGGTTGCCGGGTCATTTGAAAGTCCTCCCGGGTCCCCACTTCGTGCTCCCTTTTTGCGTCTGTCACAGGTGTTGTCCGTCTCTGTCCCCACCAGGCTAGAGCTCTGCAAGGCGGCAGCTGGTCACCCGGTGGCCCCCATAGCTCAGGGGTCCACACGCTGCTTGCACACCATCTGTGCTCCTAAATACATGCCGGACGGGTAACCGTTGGCATCTTCTGGCAGCATAACTTCCCTTCTTGGAACCTCAGTTTTCCCATCCATTAAATGGGAATAAAGTAGTGCTCTTCATGGTGGGGGGGCGTCAGAATCCTCCACAGGCTGCTCACTTGTGGGGCAGGGGCAGAGGAAGGGGAAGGGGCACCAAGGGCCCCCCTGAGAACAGAGGAACTGACTCTACCTTGTAGGATCTTATGGTCAAACCGAGTTTTTATTATTATTGTTTGCTTTTTTGGCTGCACCCCACAGCATGTGGAATCTTAGTTCCCCAACCAGGGGTCGAACCCATGCCCTCTGCATTGGAAGGCAGAGTTGTTACCACTGTACTGCTGGGGGAATCCCAAGTGGTGTTTTTAAAGAGGAGGAAGGTTTGTTAAAAACAGAAGCCTAATTTCCTCATTTGGAAGGGTGAAGCGTGGGACGAAGCAGCCGTTTCCAGCTCATCCCTGGGGCCCTGCGAGACTGGAAAGGTCACATTCCCTCTGGGGGCGTCCCCTTCCTCGTCTGGCCAGTGGGGTGGCCCCTGTGTGTTACGTGGCCACCTTTCAGGGCCTGGGGAACAGGGTGACCAGGCCCAGGGCGTGGTTGGGGTTTTGTGGCTGGGAGGAGGGTCCAGCCGGCGTCTGCAGACTGGGTCCCCGACTGTCCTGTCCTTCGGCCCCGGTGGCACAGCCTTGCCCCCACCAGGGTCGCTTCAGCAGAGCTGCCAGCCGGCCTGATTGCCAAGCCCTCATCTTTGCATAATCACCAGTCGAGGTCACAGAAATCAGGTCCAGTTCAGCGTCTCCTACCGTGGGGACCTGCAATAGGACTGGCTCTGCTCTGCATCCCCCACTCAGATCCACCATGCCGCCAGCTTTCCCCGGCCCTACCAGCCGAGTGCCCGAGCCTGCGTTCTCTGCCAGGCATTTTACTGCCGTGCAGGGTCAGCCGGCTCAGACGGGCCTCTAATTGGCTCCACGCAAGAGCAAACCTCCCCTCCCACCGTGTCCATTCCCTCCCTACCTGCGCGCCCCAGGCTGAGGAAAATCCTTCTCTTACTGGGAAGACATCAAAGGAACTGAACCCCTGAACAGAGCCCAACCCAGCAGGGGATCAGGCTCAGGAGAGATGAAAGCTCCCAGCCTCAGCCAGGGTGCAGGTGATGGGGGGGCTGTGGGACACACTGGGGGCGCCACCTAGCAGGACTTGAGGGTCCGCCAGGGTGCGGTCTCCCCGCTGCGTGCCAGGGGCTGCGGAGGCAGGAGGAGACCTGCCGTGACATCAGTGGCTGTCGCCTGGCTCCCCAGTGTTCCGGGGGAGTCCGCCGAGCGCACGCTGATAATGACCACGTCCACTGCTGATGGCACCCCTCTGGTCCGTGAGTGATCCACGGGGAGTGGTTAGGATTTTTCAAACTTTGAACGTAGACCGGGTGGGGGCTGCACGTGGAGCTCAGCCCGGCGCCTCAGCATCTGATGAACGGCAGCTCTGAGCGCCGTTTGCCTGGAGCCGACAGCTACCGCCTGCCAAGCTGGGAAACATGGCGGGGCGCCAGGCCCAGGGGTACCATTTGCAGTCATAGACAAGGAGTGGGCCCACTTCCTCCTGGGCTTCAGCGGCTGGTTCTGAAGGAGAGCGAGGTTAGACATACCGTGCCCCTCCCCCACCCCACCGGGCCCACACCTACCTTTTCCTGCCTGGCGTCTTCACTGTGACCCTGCAGGGCTGACGAAGGGGTTGCTGATGGGGCCTTTGAAAATATATATATTTATTTATCTGTCTGCCCAGGTCTTAGTTGCGGCCTGTCGGATCTTGAGTCACGCCATGAGGGATCTAGTTCCCTGACCAGGGATCAAACCCGGGCTGCCTGCATGGGGAACTCGGAGTCTTAGCCACTGGACCCCCAGGGAAGTCCCTGCTGGGACCTTTTTTTTTTTTTAACAGAGAGGGGAACTAAGGCTCAGAAAGGGTCCCGTGACTTGTCTAAGGTTACACGACCCACGAGAGGCACAACCAGGATTTGAACTCAGTTCGGCCTTATTCCAGCAATTGTGCTCTTGCTAGCAAGCCCAGGCGCTGGGAGTTGCTGCCCAGAGGTGTCCAGAAAGGACTGGAGGAGCAAGCGCCTCCTGGGAAAGCCGGCAGAGCGTCCCCAGGGGCTGGCTTTGAAGGGCTGCGTTTGTTCCACGTCTAAGTTCTTTGTTCTTTAGAGACAAGAATCCGCCTCTGCCATAGCCTGCTACCCCTCCTCCCAGAACCGCCTGCTCAGGAGGCCTGGGAAGGCTGGTGGAGCACAACCAACACAGTTCTGCCTGTAATTGGTTTCCACAGCAGCTTCATCAGAGTCGAGGAAAAATCTCAGATGCTGCCTCCTGGGGACCCTTCGATGGTGGCATACCTCATAGCATTTGGACCCACCCTGTGTCTGTCTCTTGTGCCTCAGCTCCTCTGACCACCTGCCAAGACCCTGCTCAATCTGCAGTCCACCTGAACACCTCCTCCTTCAGAAAGCCCTCTAGTTACCCACCCTCCCAACCGTCCCAGCAGGTGGCTCATCCTCCTGTGAGCTCTGGACAAATGTAACAACAAGCGCGACCCTGATGGAATGCTGTGTTATCAACCAGCCCATTTAACCATGTCACTGTGTGTTGGTGGGTTGGAGCTGTTATAATTCCCATTTTACAGATGAGAAAACTGAGGCATGAAGATCAAAAGAACACCTCAGATTGGGAGCTGCTCTGCCCTAAGGCTGCTGGCTAGAGCATCCATCTCTCCTGGGGCTGTGAGCTCTCTGAGGGTCAGAGTCCCCCCCACCACGAGTCCAGGCACACCACATGGGGTCTGCAGGAGCAACCCTATCATTTTGCAGAAGAGAGAAACCAAGACTCAGATGGTCTGCCCTAGGCTGGAGCCTGGATAGAACTTGAATCTCCTGGGTGCCAGCCCAGTGCATTTCCTGGGACCCGCTCAGCACAGCTATGAGGGAGAGACAGGGGACTCACAGGCCTAGGGGGGCAATGTCCACCCCCTCAGCCAAGGGGCACCCCTGGGCCACCCGCAGTTTTTGTGTCAGTTTCCCGACTTCAGGTTTCAGTGGGCCCCTGCCTTGAGGCACTCCTACTCCGCAGAGGGCTCCCCACCTCTCCAGACCTTAGTCTTCTCATCTGTCAAATGGGAGCATGAATCCCTCCCTCCTGAGTTGTGGTGGGGAGGACTGAGATCATCCTTGAAGGCACTGGGTGACCGCAGAGCCAGGCCCCGACTCTCAGGAGGTCTCCGCGCTCTGGGCAGTGTGGCTAATGCGATCAGCTGGGGCCCATGGGAGAAAAAGGCCCAGAGGACACTGAACCTGTGGAGCGCGAGACAGGCCCCAGGAGCCTGTCTGACACACGGGACAGTCGGCCGCTCTGCTGCTCCCCCACCCGCTCCCGCCGCCCAAATGCAGCGGCTCCTTCCTTTGAAACCTCCGGGCACCATCTGCAGGACCATGTGGGCCCAGCGCTCCCTTGGCAGAGCCTCCCTGAGCGGCACTTGGAAGACGCTGGGCGGCAGGCGGCTGGCTTCTGAGAATCCGCAGCAAAAAAAACGCGCCCGTCTGTCTGCCCACTCGTGGCATCTGCCCAGGAGGCCGCGGAAGCGTTTCTCCATCAATCACTTTGCAGCCGGAACCCAAGGGAGAGGCCCCAAGAGCTGGGCCAGTGGATATTTTAGCCCTAAAATTCATAGTTTGTTTCCCCACCTTATCCCCACCATTTTTGCCTAAATGGAGACTCCTGTTCCATGGCCGGGATGGAGGAGGGGGAGGTGGCTGCCTCAATCCTTTACTTGCCTCCCCTCTTTTTTTCATTTGGCTGTGCCAGGTCTTCCTTGAAGCATGTGGGACCTTTTAGTTGCAGCATGGGGATCTAGTTCCCTGACCAGGAATCAAACCCGGGCCCGCTGCATTGGGAACGCTGAGTCTTAGCCACTGGACCACCAGGGAAGTTCCAAGAGATCGTTTTGTGTTTTTTTTTTTCCCCTGCTACACTGAGGAGCCTGTGGGATCTTAGTTCCCCAACCAGGGATTGAACCCAGGCCTTTGGCAGTGAAAGCGTGGAGTCTTAACCACTGGACCACCAGGGAAGTCCCTTGCTTCCTTCTTTGTATCTTCTTGTCTGGCTGATCCTTGCTCTGTAATTGAAGGTCTTCTGGTGGGTGACATCTGGCCCTCCAGGGTTCCCAAAGCCCAGCTGGTTTCCAGAAATCTGAAGCCACAACTGCAGTTCACCCTGAACCCCGAGTCAGAGAAAACACTCCTGGGAGCCTGCGAGGACCTGCAGATGGCCTGTGGCCTGTGTCCACCTGGGACGCATGGCATGCTGTGGTCAGCTCAAGGGCAAGATGCGGGCTTTTGAGTCTGAGATTCCAGCCATTGCCCAGTGCTTGGTCACCCAGTGTCGGAGCTATGGGATCAAGACAGCCCACGGCAAAGGCTGGCAACTTCAAACTGCGGGTCGTGATCCATTGGCTGGTGGAGAAATCAATTTAATGGGTTGTGAGCAACATGTTTTTTGGTTTTTTTTAATGAAGTGGAGTGGAGTAGAATAGAATAACAGGATGGAAAATATTAACGCCCATCCATCTGAAGGACAAATATCATTTCGGAAAGCTTTTGTTTCAGATACAAAAAGCTGTGAGTATGCAAGTCAGGATGTCAACTGCATTTCCCTGGGTCACAGTCCGAGAGTCTAAAAGCCACTTCTTTGGAACTGCAGCAGGGCTGTGTCTCAGCCCTGGAAGGGGTCGGTCATGGTTTGTTACCACTTGGAAGAGTGCCCGTGTTGGCAAATGATGCTCTGACCTCTGAGCTGCGGCGGATTGGAGCCAAATTGTTAAGACGTCTGCTACTCTCAGCGACGGCAGGTGCTTCCCAGGTGGAGGAGAGAGGCCGGGAGGCCCCAGTGGCCTTGAATGTGTGCTCACCACGTCTGATCATTCACCCAGACCGAGCTGTAGCCGGGGCCCTGCTTGCTACTGGCACCCAGCCTGGAAAAGTAGCAGGAAAGGAGGGCTGAAGACGGGGGATGCTGAGAGATCAGCTCTTGGCCTGAGAGGCCTGGGAAGGAGACAAGGGGGCAGGTTTGGGACACCCCTGGTGGGTGGCAAATGAGCACATGGACGTGGGTGGTGAGATGCGGACATCTGGGTGTCCAGCACGGCCTCAGGCTACGGAGTGAGGGGTGAGTCAGACTGTCCACTCATAGCTGCCTGACTTCTGGCCAGTGTCCGAGCTTCTGTCTCCTGGAATGGAAAGCTGGGCAGGTCAGGGGACCCAGAACTGGGCTCCCAGAGTAGGGGTAAGGAAGTGTGTGCACTGGACAAGGAGAACTTAGTCTGAGCGTCGGCTCTCAACCCAAGCCGGCCTGCCTGTCCCAGTGGCTAGGGTTTGTGTCCTGCCTGTGCCTGCAAGCGTGACACGCTCACTTTCCACTTCATAATAGCGGGAACAGGAAAAACAACAGTGATGGCAATAATGATACCAACTACTCTGTGATTTATTCCTCGCTGAGGTCTGGGAGGCCGGCTGAGTGGTGGGTGAGGCAAGCGTGGCCTCGGGGGCAGGAATGATGCTCCTGGGCCACATGTTGGGTCATGTGGGGGCCAGGATGGGCCCTTGCTCCGGGGTCACCCTGGATCCCCCTCCAGAAGCCAGGCCCTCTGGCCATCCGCTATTCCTCTGATCTGCCCTGCTTCCCACCTGGGTGGGGACGCCCCTCAACCAGGCATCACCCCGCGTTCCCCTGCCCTAAGGGCCCTTACTTGGATTCCCCAGCTGGTTCCTGACACGGATGTGCTCAGTGGGACTTCTGGGGGAATAGCCTTGGGACAGCCCCGCTGGGCAGTTCTGGGGGAGACACGCCCAAGTCTGGGAGCGATGTGGCCTAGGGCCAGGGCTGCGAGAGGAGGGAGGAGGGCCCTGGTGGCCTGTGTCCTGGGTCTGTGGGTCTCCTCGGCTGGTATGGGCTGACCACTGCCCATGTGCCAGGCCCTGAGCTGACTGTCTATGGGTGAAAGTGAAAGTGTTAGGACTGCAACCCTTCGCAACCCTTTGGTTGCATGGACTTCTCCAGGCAAGAATACAGGAGTGGGTTGTCATTCCCTTCTCCAGGGGATCTTCCCCACCCAGGTATTGAACCCAGATCTCCTACATTGCAGGCAGTTTTGTTTTTTTTTTAAACCATCTGAGCTATCTACAGCCAATGGGCAAGGGCCAGGGGGTGGTGGGGGGGTGGTGTGGTGTTGATGCCGAGATCCCCATTTTACAGATGAGGAAACTGAGGCTCAGAGAGGCGTCGTCACTGGCTGGCACTGTAAGTGGCAGAACCCAAGCTCTAGAGCCCAGATTGGGAACCACTGTCCTCCCCGCCCCTGCCCCTCTCCTCCGCCCCTGCAGCCCTCCCCCCCACCCCCCATCCTCAGCCCTGCTCTTCCTGCAGAAACAGGCTCTGCTGTCCGAGGCCTTCTCGGGGGAGTGTCTGAGCTTCTGCCAGGATTAGGCCTTTCAAAGGGCACGTGCTCAGGGTCCCAATCTGCAGCCATCAATACCCGCTCTCCACCGGCTCTCTGATCTCTGAGCCTGATCGAATTTCCTTCTGCTCGCGTCCCTTCTGAGGGCTTTCACGTGTCAGGGCCAGGCCGGGTTGAAGGTAGCCAAGCAAAGGAAAAAGGTGTCGCCTCCCTCCCCTCCCGCCACCTGACGTCAGAGCTGCCCGAGCTGCTGCGGTGATGGACGGTGCCCCGCGGACAGACCCGGAGCTGCAGGCAGACGCCGCACAGGGCGGTTCCGGGCGGCTGAAGTCGGGCTGCTTAGTAATGGATCGGGCGGCTCTGCTGGTGCCGCGGCCAAACCTCTAACACCTCAGACGCGGGCACAGATGGAGGCGGTGGGGGCGAGTGCTGCCTCTGCAAATGAGCAAGAAAAAGGCTTGTTAGACAGAAAGGCTTGGGGGCGGAGGGGGGGCGGGGGGCGGCAAGCGGGGGAACAGGATTGTCAGCGGATCCTGTAAATACTCAAGGCAGCTCTGGCCTGGACCAGCGTGCTACTTATTTCAAAGCAATTTAACCGATGGGATTCCGGACTCCCAAATCAAGAATGTTATTAAAATGAAGAACAGAGGCGGCCGGCGGCTGGCTACAGACTCCTGGTGCTCCCCTGAGAGGTGGCCCGGGCTCTGCTTTCCCAGGGCCCCCTGCTGATCCCCTACCAGGGGTTTTTTAATAGGGTTGGCGGGGATGTGCATGAATGTAGCAGGGGTGTATTGAGAGACCCAGCCAAGCCGGGGTGTGTGTGTGTGTTAAGTGCAGTGTCAGTCGCTCAGTTGTGTCCGACTCTGCAACCCCATAGACTGTAGCCCATCAGGCTCCACTGTCCATGGGGTTCTCCAGACAAGAATGCTGGAGTGGGCTGCTGTGCCCTCCTCCAGGGAATCTTCCCGACCCAGGGATCAAACCCAGGTCTCCTGCATTGCAGGCAGATGCTTTGTCATCTGAGCCACCAGGGACACCCTGTGTGTGTGTGTGTGTGTGTGTTATTGGGCTTTAAAAACTCAAGAATGGGTTTTTGTTCAGTTTTGTTTTGGACGTAGGAAAAGGTAGAGGGACCTTTGTTCAGCCCCTTATTATTTGACCAGTGGGGAAACTGAGGTCCCTGCAGGGATGGGACCAGTCCAGGGTCGCACAGTGAGGCAGCAGAGTGGGTCTGGAAGTCTGTTTTTCTCCACTGCACCCGAGTCCACCCCGGTTCCTCCTTGAGGGGGCATTTCAGGGCCTGGGGGCATTTGGTCAGTTCCCCTGCCTCGGAATACCATGAGCCTCCCAGGTCCGGGTCCCAGCGAGAGCTGTTCAGAGATATGAGGCTCAGCACCTGTGCTTCCCAAGTGGGCAGGTGAGGGGCAGTGGGACGCATGTGGGGTCCTGGGAAGTCTGGGGCCAGCTCTCCATTCTCATCCGCTCTCAGGTGTTTCAGCGACGGGAGGACGGCTCCGTAAACTTTTTCCGAGGCTGGGAGGCGTACCGCGACGGCTTCGGCAAGCTCACAGGGGAGCACTGGCTAGGTGAGACCCCCGCCCGATGCCTGGCCCACCCTTTCCCTGTGCAGTGCACGCTGTCACACACGAGCCCCCTCCTCACGTGGATGCCAGTCAGGTCTCCATGACCTCCCCGTGCCCAGGTCAGCTCCCAGGTTCTGCATGGAAAGGGGACCTGTGCATCCAGTGGAATTTGCTCTAGGAGCAGGAAGCCCAGGGCGGTGCACTCGCCGCGAGTGGGTCCCTCGAGGATGTGTGCTTGTCCTGCTGGGGGCTCCCTGGGACCTGGTTGCTGTCCCGGGTCAGGCAGCGGTGGCCGATGCAGGTGCTGGAAGACCAGGATGACCCTCACGCTCCCCTTGCCCTTGAGGGTCAGCACCCACCCCCCAGAGCAGCAGTGGTGCCCCTGCCACTCCTGGCATCTTAGCTGAAATCTGTTGGCAGCCATTGAGTGCAGGAAAAGTGTCTAAGCAGAGCCTTGACCAGCTCCTGGCAGGCAGGGAGCCCAGTCCTCAACTGCCCTGTGATGTGCCCTGCCTCTGCTTTTCCACATTCCCCTGCCACCTTTTCATCGAGTGTTTTGTCTTTTCCTATTGAGTTATGAGAGCTCTTTATATATTAAGGTTATTGATTCTTTGTCAGATACCCCTGATACATAGTTACTCCCAGTCATTTGTCTTTCAGCATCTCTTTTTTGGTAACATTATTGCTTATTTCCTAGGAGTTTTAACTTTTTTTTATGTAGTTGATTGCGCTAGTCTTTTCCTTCATATCTTCTGAGTTTTAGGCCCTGTTTTTCTCTCCCAGTGTCATAAAAATGTCTATTTTTAAAATGCCTTTTCAGTGTTCAGTGGTAGGTTCAGCTCTTTAATCCACCTGGAAGTTCACTGGGGTGACGATGGGGGTCTGAGTATGTTTCCGCATCTTCCTCCTCATGCTCTGTGATCTGAGCTCTGATGGATGGTGGGGATGGAACTCCAATCACCCCAGGGGCCCAGGGAAGTGGGGGTTGTGAGCATCCTGGTGGATCGACAAGGACTGGAGAAACACAGAGGGTAAAGATGAGGGAGGTGGAGGCAGGAGGGAAGGGGGCCTTGAGGGGAGGAAGGGTAGAGAGGAGGGAGGCCCTGGCCCCTCCCTCAGGACACCTGCCCCGGGGCCCCCGTAGGCACTGGGCTGGCTCATTAAGGAGTGGAACTCTGCTTATCCCAGCAGAGTGGGGTCCTAATGGGGGTCCACGGGGCCCACTCGGGGGTGGGGGAAGGAATCTTCCACCATCCCCACGGGGCTGGGCTCCCTCTTGCCCTACACCTGGATCAGATCATCTGTCCTGGGCAAGAACTAAATGAGCACACACAGTCTGGGCTAAGTCTGCCACTTAGCAGCTGTGTGACCTGAGCCAGTGACTTCACCTCTTAGCACCTCATTCTCCTCACCTATAAAACACAGATAATACTAGCAGTCGTCTCACTGGATCACGACAGCAGTGGCAAACACCTGGATCATGTGTGCAGTGGGCCAGGTGCTGTCCTAAGAGCTGTACAGGGACCCTTTAATTAAATTGGACTCACTTGAATCCCCCTGGCTTCATTAATCCACGTGAAACGCTCATAGCAGCACCTGGCATTTGTAAGTGCTGTCTGCGGGGTGGGGGCTTCTGTTGGCGGTGCCTACAGCCTGCCCTTTGCAGCTTGGGAAGCCCTCTGGCCCTCACTCCACGGGTGTGCAGACTGGGGCCCAGAGAGGGCCCCAGCTTGCTATGAGGCTCCAGCCCAAGGAGACAAGGCCCCTGGGCTCCGGCAGCTGGGTCCTCGGTGATGGATGCCAGTGGATGCAGGGAGGTTCCGGCTGTCTGGACGGCTTTTGCTCTCGTCATGGTTCCTTTCCCTCTGCCCGGGACCTGGACCAGAGTCTTCCCTCTGGGCTGGTTGGGGAGGAGCCCACATAGCCCTCCCTCCCACCCTGGGGGTGTCCACACGCTGACCCACGCAGGAGAGGAAGGCAGGAGGGACAGGCTGAGGAAATGTCACTTGGTGCCAATAACTTGTAAGGCGTTTAATTAAAAGCCCTCTTAATCAAGAGGTAATCAAACTGGCAGGGAAGCACCTTGAGTGTGAGTGGCGGAGAGGGGGGGTGGAAGAGGAAAGGGAGGGCCTGGCATGAGACCCCAGAGTGGGCGCAGGAGAGCGCAGGAGGGGAGGGACAGTGGTGGGGGGAAGGAAGTAGGACAGGGTATGCTGAGAGGTGTCCGGAGCCAGGCATGGTCTTCTGCCTCTCGTCTACTAGGCCAGTATTTATTGAGCACCTATTGTGTGCTGGCTCACCTCAGATGCTAGGGTTCCACAGTGAGCGGGACAGTCATGCTGATCACATGGAGCTTCCACATTGGTGGAGGGGGGAGCCCGACACGGAAATAGGCAGCTGGAATCAGAATGATAAACACCAACAGGGGGCACCTGGGTTGGCAGAGGTCCTCCACTTCGACAGGAGGGCAGGCAGTCTTCCTGAGGAAGTGAGATCTGAAAATGAACAGAAAGTAACCAGGTGAGGGGGCTTCCTTGGTGGCTCAGCGGTAAAGAATCCACCTGCCAATGCAGGAACTGTGGGTTCGATCCTTGGGTCAGGAAGATCCCCTGCAGAAGGAAATGGCAACCCGCCCCAGTACTCTTGCCTGGGAAACCCCATGGACAGAGGCGCCTAATGGGCTACAGTCCATGGGGTCGCAAAGAGTTGGACACAACTGAGCGACTAAAGAACAACATCAAAGCAGGTGAGGAGAGTAGGGAAAAGTGTCTCAGGCAGAGGGAACAGCATGTGCAAAGGCTGTCAGGCCAGGGAGTGCATGTGAGGACCAGATCCCATCTAACCGGAGCCCAGAGTGTCAGAGAAGATTAAGGCGCCATCACCCCCAACCCAGAAGATTTTCCAGACTCGACTCCTGCAGCCTTTTACCAGCCTTCAGCTTAAAACATTTGGAAAGCACAGCCTGATTAAAGCAAATACAAAACACACAAAGCAGGAAAACCCGTCGGTCCCGTTTCCTGCCAAACACAGCTCTGCAGGAAGAAGGAGGTAGCCTGGGGCTGAAAGGACACCCTTAGTGGTCGCTGTTCCTTTCTGTCACCAACCGCATCAGCTTAGCTCTCATGTCCCCTTGGTTCTCTCCAGGGAGGTCACTTCCTCAGCCCCCAACTTCTCCCATCATTCTCTCCCCTATTTCAGGGCTCAAGAGGATCCACGCCCTGACCACTCAGGCGGCCTACGAGCTACACGTGGACCTAGAAGACTTTGACAATGGCACAGCCTATGCCCACTATGGGAGCTTTGGCGTGGGGCTGTTCTCTGTGGACCCTGAGGAAGATGGATACCCGCTCACCGTGGCTGACTACTCGGGCACGGCAGGTAGGGGTCCAGGCTGCGGTGGTGGAGGAGAAGGGCGGGGCCACCTCCCCACCTGGAAGGACAAAGGAAGTCTTTCCAGGCCAGGGGCCAGCATCAAGTCTGCTCATCACCACCACCAAGTCCCCAGCTGGTCCTCATCCCAGCCCCGTGAATCTCGCAGGGCCTCTCCCACAGAACCACCCATTTTGCAGATGAACGAAGAGCCCAGAGCCAGGAATCAGGCAAGACATCTGGAGTTTGAGCTCTGCTGAGCCTCTCCATCGCCTCTGGGCTGGGTTTCTCCTCTCCCGGCCAAGGCAAGAAAACCCTGAAAAGGGTGTGTGACAAGTCTGGGAAGAGGGAGAGGCCGCGGGGACGGCCGCCGGGACCATCAGGAGGGCACTGGGGCTGCCTGCGGGCGCCAAAGGTGTGCGAAGGGGCAGGTGCGCGCTGGCTCATGTGTGTGCATCGTGCACGGGAAGCTGCGTGCACGCACCTGGGCCCCACTGAACACACCACCTGTGTACACCTGCGCAGGGGACTCCCTCCTGAAGCACAGCGGCATGAAGTTCACCACCAAGGACCGCGACAGCGACCACTCAGAGAACAACTGTGCCGCCTTCTACCGCGGCGCCTGGTGGTACCGCAACTGCCACACGTCCAACCTCAACGGGCAGTACCTGCGCGGCGCACACGCCTCCTACGCCGACGGCGTCGAGTGGTCCTCCTGGACTGGCTGGCAGTACTCACTCAAGTTCTCGGAGATGAAGATCCGGCCGGTCCGTGAGGACCGCTAGACCGGCGCGCTCCGGCCCTGCTGCCCCTACCACACCCCTAGCCCCGCCGTCACCACGCCCACCCCATCTCCGCTCCTGCCCAGATGCCCGCCCGCCCGTGCATGACTGATCTGCTCTCGCCATGGGGTGGCCCAGGCCAACCCCGACCCGAAGCACCCCCTGAACGAGTGAGGCCACACAGCACCTTCACACTGTCCCCACCCCCAATTTGCCCCTGCTGATGGGGGCGGGGCAAATCTGACCACCCCGAATTCTGCCTGCCCCGACTTTAGCTCCATGGGCCACGTGTCTGCCTCTGCCTTGGCCAGGAGTCGGCCACGTGCTCCTGGCAGCCCTTCCACTTTGCCAGCGCAAACATCTGGAGTCATGGGCGGTGGAGGAGGGGCAGCTGGCACCCCTGGAGCCCTTTTAGCAGACAGAGGGAAGGGTCAGATATTTTTAGTCGGTCCGAGGCCAGCCTCCTCTGACCCTCTAGACCCCTCCTCAGTTTCTCTGGCGCCTGGAGGTCCCCCTCTCTCCCAAGTACTGGGGAGTGGTGGTACTCAGGGCCGCCTGTGCTCATGGGCTAGGTGGCCACATCCCTTCACGTCCCGAGGCCAGGCTGGGGTGCAGCTGCCTTCAGGAACTCACACCCCGAGGTGGCTGAGATCCGTTCCCTGGAGGCCTCCCCCCCCACCCACCCACCCTGATTCCCGATGTCTTTCCAGGCCTGGGAAGCCCCCAGTCCCCTTGGCTGCTCTGCCCATCCTCCTGCCTTCCGGGGGCAGCTGAAGTCTGGCCCCACCCCATCCTCCTGCCTGTGGGACACGCGGGACCCGTGCTGGGCCAGTGAAGACCTCTTGATTTTCAGGGCATTGGCAGGGCTGTGCCACCCCCACCACCAATTTCCAAGCAGGGACTCTGGGATCCTAGGAGGCTGGTCAGAGACAGCTGGACCCAGAGCGTTTGGTGGCTGGTACCTGGTCAGCCTGGACAGTGCTGTCTCAGTGGAGACGCTGCCCCCTGCTGCTAACTGTGGGTGTTGCCACCTTGGGTCGGGGGAAGGGAGGGCGTCACTGGGCAAGTGGGGGAGACTGAAGCTCCTCCCAGGCACTCAGAGACCTTTCTCATCAAATTCTCTCAACGCTCAGTGCATGGTTCCTGCTCCTCTGTAACAAGAACCACAGGTTCTCCAGGCCAGCGGCCAGGAGGGGCAGGGCTGGGACTCCAGCCCGTGACCCCCTGCTCAACCAGCCTTGGGATCCTGGTGTCAGAACCAAGCCCAGGGCTGTTTTGCAGAGTTTCCACCTGTCGGGACCTGAGAGGGCCAGGAGGTCAGCCTGGAAAGCGGCCCAGAGGGTGGGCATCCCAGCGACCCCCCCCCCCAGGACCCCCTCACTCCTCAGGGAGTGATTCCTAACTAGGACTCCTGAAGGCAGTCGAGTGGGGGAGTGTGGGATCCAGCCCTCCCTTCCCCTCCTGCCAAGGTCTGTGCTTCAATAATAGTAAACCGGAGTTGGCCACGGACAGCAGGAAAGGCCCCAAGGGCCTCTGACGTGCCAGGGGACCTGGCGGGTCCCCTCCAGCACCACCTGGTTGTTGGGCATTTGTCAGGCTTTCCGGACAAGACCCAGTTGCTGTTCTCCTGGCCCTCAGCTGGAATCAGAGACAGCCAGGGAATCAGCGATGACAACCCAGGCAGTAACAGGAGTGCCAGGTGCAGGCAGGGTGGGGAAAGTGCGCTGGAGATGTGTGCAAGACGACCACCCGGGCCCCCTGCTGGCCCCTTGCCCATCCTCTAGAAACCAAGAGAGCCAGTCGCCCCTGCCCCCGGCTGCTGGGGCCCCCTCCCAGCCAAGGAGCAGAGGCCATGTGGAACCCTGCATCCTCATCCTGGGGACCCTCCTCCCCCCTCCAGCTCCAGACCAGAGCTAGCTTCTGCTGCCAGCCTCGCGGTGCCAGCCACTGTTTAGAAAGTGCCAAGCGCTTTCTGATCTGTCATCAAACACGCTCCTGGTGAGCGTGATGTTAATGGATTAACAGATGTGCGTGTGCGTCAGAAGGCTCAGGGGCGCTCATGCCACGGCTTGGCCCGGGAACTGACGAGCCACAGCTTCGGCCTGGTCGGGGGCCGGGCAAGGGTGGCTCTTAGGAGTGTCGGACCAACCTGGAGACACTGGTTCCTTCCTGCTGGAGATCCCCGGTGCCCCTCTGCAACCCAGGTTTGGCATTGTTAGGGACACGGCCACACCAAAAGCTGGCTAAACAGGCACATGGCCCGTTGTGGTGAGGACAGCCAAGGCCAGTGCACCCCCCTTCCTAAAGGGCACCCCTTCCCAGGGCCAGGAGGCTGGGGTGCACGAGGCAGGCCTGGCATCCAGCTTGGAGGAGCCCGCAATGTGATTCCAGTGCCCGTGGCTGTCACCAGCGATGGGAGTGACCACAGAAGGAAGGCAGTGCTGGGGGAGCCGGAGGGGCAGCAACAGCAGGACAGACGGAGAGATGACGGATGCGTGTAAGGGCCACCCCGGGACCCACGGTCACTGTGCCCGAACGCTGACCCACCATCACGATGACGGAGTCGATGGCTTGATGGTGGGCTACCTGTGACCCAGCTGTGCCACGCTGCCTGATCAACCCCCTCCTGCTGTCCTTCCTTCTCCGATGAGGAAAGAAACAAGCGGGGGCGGGGGGCTCTCTCCACTGGGACCCTCAGGCAGGGCATTTACCCTCCCTGCTTCCAAAAGTCCCTTTCCAAAGGCACAGGTAGGTTCTGTGGGATCAGCCTCAATCCTTGCCACTCAAACTCTGGATCCATCTCTGAGACGCCACCCAGCCAGCCACCCCAGCTCCCGGAGTCCAGAGGGTGGATGGGCCCCGGGTTTCCAGCCTGAAGGCCTCAGCGCGGTCAACAGGAGTTGAGCATGGAGCCGGGGGCTGTTCTCAGGTAGCATGTCCCCCTGCAGCCGCATGTGAATAGGTTTGGTCACGTTGGTCTTGGAGCAGAAGTGGCAGCCACACACCCCAGCACCCACCGCCTCCAGGTCCCCCAGGGCCACACACCCTCATCCACGCAGACCTCTGGCCCGGAAGCTGGGAGCCCCATTCACCCAGGGCTAAGAGGATTCGTGAGGTCCGTCGACAGGACCCGCTGGCCACGTGCACTTCAGCAGGAGGGGAGGGAGGTGGGGATGGCATGTGCGCTGCCGTCGGGGGACTGGGGAGAGGGCCCTGATGTGGAGTCTGAGGACGGACATGCTCACGGGAGCGGGCAGGGATGTGCAGACAAGGACACGAGGCTTCGGTCCAACGGGCCGGCCGGCGCCTCCCCAGGGCCTGTTTCTTCATCTGTAGAAGGGAGAAGGCTGCCCCCAAACCCCGAGTGCCCACGCAGCTGGCAGGACTTGGCAGACCCGGGGGGCTGACGGTGGACCTCGGTGGGGATGGGGCAAGCAGCGTACACTGGGCTCTCACCTGGCCACGTCTGCCCGCTGCCATGCCCACAGGCTGCCCGACTGTCCACACGAGGGACGAGGCCCGGCCCGGGACGGGTGCTCGTGGGGCCCGTGTGCACTTGGCGTCATGTGTGGTCCTGTCTCCAATAAAGTCTCGTGGTGACCGACTCGGGCCTCTGCCTCCCGCCTGCTCAGTGCCCCACAGGGTGGGTCAGACACCCCAGGGTGCCAGGACCGCCTCGTGCACACGTCCCAGCGCGGCTGTTTCGACACGGGCAACCCCTGTTCCCCAGACAGCTCTGTACCCCCAGGAACCACACGGGGTCCCGGGCAGAGCCGGCCCCACGCCTGGCCAGCACCCTGGGCGTCAGGGTCGGGGGTGTGAGGCCTTTCGCCCTCAAGAACGCACCTCCCGGGGCTGAGCCTGAGCCCTTGTTTCTCATCACGGTCCCCAGGGTCCCATTTCTTCACCACTTCCCTGCTGGCCCAGCTGGGAAAGAATCCGCCCGCAATGCAAGAGACCTGGGCTCGGTCCCTGTTGGGAAGATCCCCTGGAGAAGGGAATGGCTACCCACTCCAGTATTCTGGCCTGGAGAATTCCACAGACTGTGTGGTCCATGGGGTCGGAAAGAGTCGGACACGACTGAGCGATTTTCACTTTCCCTTCCACTTTCCCTGGTGGCTCAGCTGGTAAAGAATCCGCCTACAGTGCAGGAGACCAAGGTTCGATCCCTGGGTTGAGAAGATCCTCTGGCGAAGAAAATGGCAATCCACTCCAGTATTCTTGCCTGGAGAATTCCATGGGCAGAAGGGTCTGATGGGCTACAGTTCATGGGGTTGCAAAGATGTGACTGAGCGGCTAACATAACACTTCTTTACCACTGAGCCACCTGGGAAGCCCCATTCAGAAAATCAGTCCCTAATGACTGTTTATTCATAAAACAAATTTGAAGCTTAAACGCATGGCAGTCTCCCGAGTTGCTGTAATGAAAGCCAGTGTTTATCAAGTGCCTGCACTGGGGACCTGGTAGGGGCCAGGGGAAGTGAATGTGCCCAGTGTCCTGCCTCGGGCTGGCCTGCGAGGGGACCCCCGCTCCTCCACCACCCAACCCAGCTCCTCTGGCCCGGCAAACAGCACCATTCCGAGGTCCGGTGACTCAGGCACACGGAGGCTCTCCGAGTTGACGAGCGGTGTTGGCATTCTAGTCACAAATAGTGAGCTTCCTTGGTGGCTCAGTTGGTAAGGAATCTGTCTGCAATGCAGGAGACCCAGGTTTGATCCCTGGGTAAGGAAGATCCCCTGCAGGAGGAAATGGCAACCCACTCCAGTATTCCAGCCTGGAGAATTTCACGGACAGAGGAGCCTGGTCGGCTACAGTTCATAAAGTCTCTAAGAGTCAGACATGACTGAGTGACTAAACCTACCCAGGGGAGAATCCACATGGTAAGAAAGTCCCCAGGGCAGGGAGGGTTCAGCTGGCATGCCCAGGAGCTCTGAGCGGGATGTGCCGACCTGGGAGGCCCATGCTTGTGAAGAGGGCACCGTCCGGGCTCCACTAGATGCCAGCAGCCACCACCCCGGCCCCATCGGCCTTGTCCCCTGTGGTTCACCCTCCCCTCCCCATGGTGTGGGCTCTGCTGGGGGAGGAGTTGGAGGTTCAGACAGTGACGAGACTTGCCCCAGGCCACAGCTGGCTCATGGCTGAGCAGGGAGGAGCCCAGCCCTAAGGGCTCACGTGAGGCTGAAGGGTGGCGGACTGGGGGAGGCGTCTGAGATCCGAGTCAGGGGCCTGGGCTCAGCACAGCCAGGCTGTGTCGCCCTGGAGGTTCCTGGCAGGTTCTGCCAGGGCAAAGGCCACCGGTCAGCTTGGACATCCCGGGACACAGCCCCGCCACTCCGCGGGGGCGGCTTCCCAGGGAGCCTGGTGGCCCCCGGACCCCCTCCCCCACAGCCGCCCGCATTCCCTTGGGGGTGCCGGGGAAAGCCTTTGCTTCTGGAAGCTGATCCTGACAGATCCCGGCCGCTCTGCTGCAGAGTGTCACAGCTGTCACCTCCACGGGTCACAGTCACCCCCGCGTGTTTCAGTTGTTACCGCCTCCTGCTCAGGAGGGGGGCTCATTCCCTGGAGGAAGTCCAGGGGTTTTCAGGAGCCCGGGAAGGGACTTGAAACCAATCTTTTGGGCCAGGTGTCCGGGGGAGCCGCTGGCAAGCCCCTGGGGTTGGGATGTTTGGCACCAAATCTGACATCAGACTTGGTTCCAGGTGCCCCTACTCTAGGGCTGGGGTGGAGGACTCCTGGTCACCCCCAATCTTGCCCCCTACCCCACCCACACCCAACACTTGGGACCTTCTGTGGCCACTTCTCAGAGCCCTGGGCCCCCCGTCCCGAGAGGGAACCACACCGGGGGCTGTTTTCACAGCAGAATTGTCTTGGGCCCCGTGTGTTAACAGTCAGGTGGAACCTTCCTCCTGGCGGTGTGGGGGCCCCTCAGGGCTTGCCCCCACCTCTGCTGTCCCCACTGTCCACAGCGTCCCTGAGGAATTCCGCAGGGCACAGCTTGGGAACCAAACCTTCTCATTTGATGCCCATGGGAACTGAGGCACAGAGGGCAAGCATCCGGCTCAAGGCCCCACAGCGAGTCAGTGACCCCGTGGCAGGCCGCGCTCCGTCGTCAACCAGCACCCAGTGTCACGGCCGGCCAGCACTCACCAGGGAGACGAAAGGACACCGCACCTCCCAGCTTACGTGCACACACTCACACACGTGTGCTCACGTGCACGCGCACACATACCTGCCTCTGCCTCTGCTCCAGTCGGCACATGGCGTGCCCTCTGCCTGCGCCCGCCTGCAAAGTCCTCGCCCTCACCAAGCAGGCCGAGCACACCCCTCCGAGGGGCCCGCAGGCAGCCCGTGCTGCCTGACTGCTCTTGACCTCGTTCCTGCTGCAGACGGGGCTGGAGACAGGAGCGCCAGGACACAGCTCGGAGTTCGGGTCATCTGTCCCCCGACCCGGTCACCATGAGGGGAGTAAAGAGTCTAGCCCCTTCCTTAGGTTGCTGGGCATGGGGAAGGCCGTCTGTTCCCATGTGGGGTAATTCCCACCCCTCTCCTTAGCACGTCAGTGGCGCAGCGGTAAAGAACCCACCAGCAATGCAGGAGACACGGGAGACGCGGGTTCGATCCCTGGGTTGGGAAGATTCCCTGCAGAAGGAAATGGCAACCCACTCCAGTATTCTTGCCTGGAGAATCCCATGCAGAGGAGCCTGGTGGGCCGCAAAGAGTCAGACACAACTGAAGCGACTGAACACTCACTCACACCAGCACCTCACAGGCAAAGGTGATACAGGTCAGCTGGGTGAGGGCCCTGGAGCCGGAATCCACTGGGCTCAGTCCTCAGTCCGGCCTGAACAGCCACCCCAGACAACTGCCGCGCGGCCGCAGCCTCACCGTCTGGAGCACTCTGGAAAATCTAGGCCGGGCAAGACACAGAGGACTGTGCTGGGCACCTCCTGCTGGTCTCCCCGGAAACTGGCGGTGGACGGTGGGGAGGGACGGGGAGGGATGCTCCTGGGTCTGCAGGCTGCTGGACAGGCCAGCGGGGGCCCACAGGAGAGCACGTCCCTGGGCTGGGCGCCGGCCCATGCCCCTTTGGCTGGTGCCTTGAGGAACACGCTGCCCAAGGGGCCCCGCACCCTGGCTTAGCCCGCAGCCCACCCCCTCCCCGCCCCATGCCCAGAGCAGGCCCCAGGGGCGCTCAGAGATCACACATGGGCGGAGGGGCGCACCAGACTTTGCAGTGAATAGTTGCGGGGTGAGTGCCCTGAAGTGTGAGCGAGATGCTGAGGGGCCAGAGTGGCTCCCGCAGGGACCCGTGCACCCACGGCACACCCCCTCCAGCCCTGTGCCCCGCTGTGGGGAAGCGGTGTAGGTGAGCACACGTGAAGGCCTCCACCTGGGCCTCCGAGCTCACGGGGGAAACTCCCAGGGAGTGAGCGGCTGGGGAGTGACGAACGCCGTGCCCTCCACGACCGTGACCTTCACCCAGGCCTCGACGAGCCGCACACTGGGCCCACAGCCTCGTCTCCACGAGCCGGGTAGTGGGGCCTGGTGGGCCTGAGCCTCCCTGCAAAAAGGCCCACCTTCAGTGTTTTAGGGGGTGTGGACCAGGCGTGACCCCAGGGCCATGCCTGTGACTCACACTGAACGAGGCGCCCCGGCTCCTCCAAGCAAGGCCGGCTTTGCGCAAAGGGCAGCCCCATCTGGCCTCTCATCAGACCACATCCTGTTTGGTTGGGTCTTTTATCAGCACAGTCCGCGCAGTTCCATCCTTCACCACCAGGTCCCCAATGGAATCCCAGGGTCAGGAATGCACAGCAATCAGGAGCGCTCAGGGCACGGGCCCCGGGGGGGTGGGGGGCCTATATAAAGCAGGGAGCGCCCAGGAGAGGCGCCTCCTGGACGAGAACCCAGAGCAGCTCTGCCCAGCCCAGCCCAGGTCCAGCTGCCCGAGTGGGAGCAGACCCGCAGCACCGTGAGTACGGCCGCTCCATCCCCGGCAGGAGTCGCACTCAGGCCTCCTGCAGGTCGGCAGCTGGGCACACGGTGCTAGGAACCCTGGGGACCCACAGGGCTGGGAAGGCCCCGAGGGTGGAGACCCGCACCTCATCTTGCCGCCTAGAGCAGGCAGAGATTGACCACAGGTGCCCTCCGGGGCTCGGCCCTGGGCCTCCCTCTGTCTTCTCCTGCCAAGTCCTGGATGTTAGGGCCTGAGCCCCAACTCGTGCTGGGGCCCAGTTTTCGGTGTGGAGTGTCCCAAGCTCCCACTGGATTCCTGAAGGGGTCCACGGTCCCCCCAAAGGGAAGGAGAGAAGGCGCTGCCCGTCCCCCTTTTGAGACCCAGAGGCCATTTCCAGGTAGACTCATCTACCAGCTGGAGTCCCACCTTTATCTCAAAGCTGTCTGCCTCGCTTCCTGCGGGGAGGAAACCTCTTGAGAAAAGCCCCCACCCCACCCAAACGCTGATGGAGAGGCTTCCCTGAGGCGGCTAAGAGGAGGGCTGGATTTGGGAAGAGGAGGGGGGACATGCTTTAAGTTTATTTTTTTAAGCTTTTGGGCTGAGTACACTTTGAAATGTCTTCAAGGGAGCCATTTCTGGAAAGAGCTCTGGGAGGCCTGGGCTGTCTTCTCCAGAATCTGCTCCCTGTATTCCAGCCTCAGCTCTCCTCCTCAGAGGACCAGCCAGCTCCCACTCATCGTGGTCGTTACCAAAGAGGCTTCCTTTGCGAGGGAACCAGCAATTAGTGCCAAGGCAGGGGCACCGGGGGGAGGCTCTATTTCTGCCTCGCATCCCCCACGGACCGCCGTGTACGGGGTAGAGGAGCGGTTCCCGCGTCCAGCCCAGTTAGACCCGGGCTTGCATCCCAGCTTTGTCACTTACAGAACTGAGATCTTGGGCCTGTCACCTGTTTGGGAGTCCTGCCTCCTCTGTAAAAGGGAACACGGGAGGCCCTCAAGGACAGCATCAGGTGGGGAAGGTTAAATTGGCCCACAGTCCAAGAAGCGCCCTGGCCATTAGAATCCAGAACCCTAGGGCCTCTACTTTCTAGCTGTGGGGCCTGGGCACAGTCTCTTAGCTTTTGTGACAGTTCTCTTGCCTGAAAAAAAAATGGGACTAACAGGGCTTCAAGTTAGGTTTACTGTGAAGATAAAATACAACTGTGCAGGCAAAGGTTTACCTAGCAGCCAGGTTACACAGTTGGAGAAGGAAACAGCAACCCACTCCAATATTCTTGCCTGGAGAAGTCCATGGACAGAGGAGCCTGGCGAGCTAAACAGTCCATGGGGTCGCAAAGAGTCGGACACCACTGAGCGACTATCACTGTCACTCAGGCACACAGTTAGTGCTCAGTGGGGACTGGCGAGCGCTCCTCTCTGGGAGGATGTCTGAGTTAGGCTGGGCCGTCAGATCTGGTTCCTGCTTTCGGGAGCGACTGGCTTCCACGTCACAGAGACATGAGCAGAGCATCCCCACTAAACAGCTTAACCAGACCCATTTATTACCGAGTTGAAAACAAAGAGGGGTAGATGCTATTAACTCTACCCCATGGCTCTGAGATGATATGGCCCAGGAGTCAATAATTATAATAAGGGAAGAATGAGCCTAAATTTGCTCAGCTCTCCCGGGGCCGCCTATAAGCCATCCCAGCGGCAGCGGTATTAGTGTGCTAAGCTGCCAAGGCCGTCAAAAGATTGCAGGAGAGGGAGAACCAGCCTAATTGGCGTGGCTGGCTCCTGAACCTGCTAAGACAATAAAGGCCGGGTCCCCAACGTGGTGACACTTCCTCACGCTGCTTGCAGGCTGGGCTCAACCGAGCCGCCAGCTCACGCCTTTGATGGCGGCCTGGGAACCCGGGAAGCGTGCAGACAGCTGTGCGTGGCCCTGGGGTGCAGCGTGTAACCCCCTCCTCTCTCTCCTCTGGACCAGATGCGGAGCCCTTACTCCCTGCCCTACCTCCTGTTCCTGCCCCTGGGTGCCTGCTTCCCGGTGCTGGACACAGAGGAGCCCGTGGACGCCGTGGGGGGCCCCGGCCGTGAAATGAGTTGGACAGAGCCGGCGGGGGGACACCCCTTTCTGTGGGGCCCCCCTGGGTGGCCGAGAGACCCACACCCACGCGCCCTGCTTGTCAAGGCCAAGGAGCTGTGGGCAGCAGGCAGGGCGCGTGCCGGCTTCAAGCTGCGTCTCAGGAGGCAGGACGACGGCAGCGAGGCCACCGGCCTCCTCCTGGGGGAAGCCGAGAAGGCGGGGGGCCTGTTGGGGACCTTGGCTGAGGAGCTCAGTGGCTACAGCAGGAAGAAAGGGGGCTTCAGCTTCCGCTTTGGCCGGGGGTGAAGGGGCCAGTGCGTCCTGGGAAGGGCCCCTCTCCACCCGACCCCATCCCTGCCATTTCCATGCGCTTCTCCTCTGGCCTCAAAGACCAAGATGTGGTACAGCTGAGAAGGTGTGGAGTATTCTTATAAAGAGTGACAATAGGAATAATAATAGCAGTAGGATTGGTTAGGTGGGTGCTTACTTCTGATTTCCAACTTTGCTGAAGCAAAAAACCCTGGACGGTATCAAAAAGGAGCTCAAAAAACCAGAAAAGCAAGGGAACAAGAAACACCATGTCTGGCACCACCCCGAGACTGCTGTATTTCAGCCCCCTCCTCTGGAGGCCTGGAGCCAAGAATGCCCTCGGACCACGAATCTGAACAGGCAGAGCTGGTTGTGCTGGCTCTGGCTTAAAGGTAGGTGGCCTGAGTGATTCCGTGGGATAACCGAAGTTTTGACAGTCTCCGCCAGGACGTCAGGGGTTGACATCTGAAGTGTGACTGTGAGTGAGCACATTCCACTAGGTACACAGCGTGGTTCTGAAAGTTAACAATGGTAAAAAAAAAAAAAAAAGTCTTGTTCTCCATCCCATTAAGACAACATCCCTCTGGCAAGCAAACGTTGCTGCGGTGTTACGATGCCACTCGGAACCCACTGCCCAGCCCTTCTGACAACCGTCCTCATCGGTGGTACCGCGTTTGCCAAGTCTCCTGGGAGGTGAACGAGGAAGGAATACGTTTGCTTTTTTTTTCTGCAGCAAGGTTGAGTGTCCAATGTTCAGAATGTGAATGTATTGTTGTCTTTTGAAATAAAAGTTGTAACGACTGCAAACTGTGACGGGAAGCCCGCCTGACTCTTGCCTGCAGCTCCTCTGTGCCCTGGGAGCTTCGCTTCCCGAGTTGCGAGTTGCCTTGACTTTGGGGAGATGGAAATTGTGTTGCCTGTACCCCACACGCCTCTCCCGGCATCCCCTTAATTGGCAGTTGGTGAAATACCCGTGGTCAGAGGTACAGGGAAAGACACACGGGGTGGTGCATTTTTTCTCTTGCGCTAGACAGCTCTTGCCCTGGTTTTCTCCAAGCGAGGTGAATTCTGAAAGCAACTGCTCTGCCCCGAGGGAAGCCCGCGCTGGGCAGCCCTGGGGCGAGGCGGAGCATCTCCTTCAAATGCAGCTCTGCTGAGTTCTGCGTCCCGACCCTATCAGCTCCGGCAGCCTGATGCTCCTCACTCCCCGGCTGGCTGCAACTGCCGGGACCAGAGCCTGTATCGATGTTGCCATGGCAACACCGCCCCTCCTCCCTTGTGAGCTGCGGCTTGCCCCTGTTCACAATTGAATAATTCCCCATTGAGCTGTCACAATTAATTGGTAGATTCTTATTAGCCTTTTTAGAACCACACTGGGCCTGGGCCCAGCCTGGCACCTCAGAGCATTTCACAGTGTTTTTCCCGTTCTATTAGAGACTTAGGTTCCCCGGTAGCAGCTCTCAATCCTCGACAGCCTGGAAAGTCACTTCATTAAGGGGTGACAGATCTGAGCCACAAGAAGAGGCGGGCTGACTGGGGAGCAGAAATGAGATGGTGGGGTGGGACAGGGACGCGGGAGTCGGAGCTTCGCCTTATGCTGAAGCGAGCTGCTTGGAGCACGTGTCCTGGGCTCAGGGCCGTGGTGATGGGGGCCAGCAGTGACGCGGAGTCTGGGAGGCACGGTGTTCCCTTTGGCCTCTGCCACTGGCGAGGGAGGAAAGAGCTGGGAGGCCTCCTGCTAATGTGACAGGTTGATGGGGGGGGGGCGGTCTTTGTGGGTGAAAGAGGTGAACACTCGGCCCTGAAGCCTCGGAGGGAAAGCTCATGAAACCAGTCAAGGACAGCCCCGCTGCGGAGGCCGTACAACACGGGGTGGCCAGAGGAGGCAGGCAGGGTCATAGCCTGGGCTCTCACCCCGGCACGTGCTAACTTCCACTCTGATACGGGGGAGGCGAGGCAGCATCCTGGAGTAAGTACTCCAGCCTGTAGCTCATTTACACACACAAAGAACCCAGAGAATGTGCTCGCGACATTTACACACACAAAGAAACCAGAGAATGTGCTCGTGACACACCAGGGGAAACACAGCAGACCAAGGGCAGAGGGACGCCCTGCAGCAAGGTCCCCGGCCCATGCGCTCGGGCCAGCTTCTGCTCTCAGGACGAAAGGAGCCACCCCGCAGTCACTAACGGTGAGAGCTGAGAACCTGGAGGTCACCGAGCAGGGGAAGACAGTCCCGCACGTGTTTATGCACGCTGTGGGTATGCACCGGCTGGCTTTTAATTTAGTAGGATTAAGTTAACCTCGATGGAGAAATCCGAGATAAAGGGGGGAGGGGGAGGGGAGGGCCTTCAAACAGTGGATAACCTGTCATTAGGCTTTCATCATTAAACAGTAATCAACAACAAAGCTGTCCTCTCCAGTTGCTTGTACATTTGAGTTCAATAAACCTGAAAATCAGAACAATCAAACTGCTACAGGCGTTGATCTGTTAAATCCACTCCCACTGCGTTTGGCTAACCTTCCTCTTTAACCTCCCCACACCTCTCGACCCCCTGGCTCTGTAAAGGTTTGGGGGTCTCTCATGCCATCCCCACACAGCCCTCCCTCCTTGGTGGAGAAGATGACTCCCCAGATTAGTGAAGGTGAGCCTCTTCGGAAAACATCTGCTTTGGAAGCAGGGCGATTATGCTCCCCCAGCGGCCTGGCCGGCTCCACCTGCTGTGGCCATGCTGTCCTCCGGCCCAGGCACCAGAGAGCCGACGCATTCGCTCGTGCTATGCATTCAAGACACATAAAAAAACACTCCATCTTGGTGTGCAGATCTCCAGGTATTTAGCTCTTAAAATGGACGGGGAATATTTGCCGGTATTTTCTTGCATTTTTGAAATATTAGTATGTCCAAGAAAAGAAGAGGTTGTGGGTGGGGGCAATAGCAGACCATCAGGCAGCAGCTGTGGTAAGTGAGGTGTCAACTCACCCAAACAGTGCCCCAGGACCAAAGATGCTGCAAGGCACACACCGGGGGAGACCCAGACCCAGGCAGGGGCTTCCACCGTCCAGGCGGGCAGCCGGGGCCCGGCCCGAGAGGGGGGCGACCACGGAGGAGGGCTGGCACCGAAGACAGGGGATACCATGGTTGGGCAGTCTTGTCCCACCTAACGTCTTCTGTATGAAGACGACAGGTTGACACGGGCCCCCCAGAGCGCTCAGCTGAAGAGTGCCGTCTATAAAACACCCCTGGTGCCGAGAGGGCTGGGTGAGCTGTAGTTCTCACTTCTCTTTCACGATGGAGCGGGGGAGGCAACCCTGGCCCTGGAGCCCCGATCGATGCGGATCGTGCTGTGGCCACCTGGACTGCCAACAGATGAGTCCGGCACAGCAGGCGTTAAGCGGGCACACGCTGTGTGACCTCGGGCTAGCTATCGCACATCTCTGAACCCGGCTTTCCCACCCATGAAAGGAAGACGGTCACAGAACCTCCCTCGTTAATTCTGAAAAAGGTGTGAGGGTTTTCCATGGTGATGCGGAGTGCATCCGTAGAGTAGCTAAAAGCACTGCCCTGTGAGCTGTAATTCTAAAAAACATGTTCATTGCAACCTAACACACATCTGGAACGCACTCCAATTCTAAGCGTGGTTGGATGGTTTCCAGCCAGTGACGCACCCATTAGCCGGCACCACCCAGGCTATGCACCCCGCGTCGTCCGCCCCTCTGACCTCTTCCACCCGACCATGTGCCCGTTGGGCGTCACCGCGCTGGGTCTGACGGCTGCCCGGCACCACGTACCGTGGAGTGGGGCGAGTCTGCCCCTCCCACTCCCAGTGATCCGCTACATTCCACAGTGCAAACACACCACCCATACCTATTCCGTTCCCCTCTTGATGATTGATTTCAGTCTAGGGATCTCAAAGGTTTTAAAATTTTTGAGGCTGGAGGCCTATACGTTTCGAGGTAACCATGTCAACAGCAGCTGCCCACCTTCCGGGGCCTGGCCCTTGGGTGCCCACTCCTTGGTTCTGGAGCTCAAAGGCATGACTTGGTCCTTTGACCACTGTTGTGGTGTGCACACAGGTATGTCTTCCTGGGGCTAGATCCAGTCCCCACTAGGTTCTCAAGGGATTCTGTGACCTAAGAGGTTCAGGACCACTGACCTAGAATGGCGAGACCCAAGTAAGCTTCTTCAGCTCGCCTGACACTCGTTGAAGATGCTCACTTTGGAGAAGAGCTTTCTGAGACCCCTGTCTCACGCCACTACGGCTGCCAGAGTGACTGGCGTGTACACGAGGCCTTGTCCTGGTCTCACCGCATGGGAGCCGTGACTGGACGAGCTCTCTGTGGGCGCTGGGAAGACGGGACAGCCCACCCCGTCTGCAGGGCTGCCGTGAGGAGTCCGGGACCCATGCAGCCTGACCCAGGGGAAGCAGCCATCAGCGGGGACTTGTCACTGCAGTCCCACGTCCTCTTTCAGACTGAGAGCTGTCCCTCAAAGGGAGAGTCTGCTCCCCGTGGAAAAGCCCCCGACTCAGGAGCTCTGGTGTCCAGTGACAGCTTTGCCACTGACCCACCCTGCGACCTGGGCCTGTTTCTGCCTCTGTGAGACGAGGAGAGCTGTTCCCCGGTCACGCCTGGGGCCACTCCACTCGAGCACACACCGCAGGTCCCACTGACCCCGTCCCGGGCTGGTGTTTCTACTGCCCCTGCCATGGAGTGGCACAGCTCGCTGCCCAGGTCTCTGGGAGAGAGGCTCCACTGGACCGTGTCTTCACTGGGCTCTGGTGGACGGGACATGCGTCCTCTGACAGGCCGGGTGGCTTAATAAGTATCATTAGCAGGGGCAGCTACTCACTTCCCCGATGTCCACTTTCCGAGCCGTCAGCTGATGTCAAATGGAGATTGAGGACGCGTCAGCACCCCCTCGGGAGGTCCCCATGGGAGAGGCTGCACCGAGGCCCTGGCCGGTGGCTTCATCCCCTCACAGGCCAGCACACCCTGCT